AAAGTCTTCCATAGTTTCTCCTCAACATTAACATATTTTGTTTTTCATACTACATAAAATACACTTACAATTTTGTGTATGCATCCAAACAGATTTCTTCATTTGGGTAACAAGTTGTTCCATAAATATTTGTTGAAAATGTCCTCCTTTCCACATTATCTGTAATGCTATCTCTGGTGTATATAACAATCCCTTATATTCTGTTCAGTTGGTTAAATGAGCATATTCCTGCATCAGTAATACACTTAGTTCCTAGAACATTACTTCTATTCTTAATCTCTGGTCCACCCCCCGCCCTCAGCAGGAGTGTCTAGCCTATTCTTAGCCATTTACAGGTATTTCCCACTTACCCTAGGTTCTTTTATGGGAAAAAAGTGCAAGAGTTATCTGTTATTTCCATTTCTATGGGAGTGTTCACTTTTTTTTTCTTTTTCACCCCTTTTCACCTCTATAATTCTATTTCCACTCTTAGAGTGATTATCCTTAAAAATTTAATATGCACACTTAGCAAACTCTGAAGTTCATCATTTTAAAATTTCTCCCACCTTCCATATTATGGTCAAGTAGTACATTCTACCTTGTCTTTAAAATTTTTTTTATTTTTTTGGGGCGCCTGGGTGGCTCAGTGGGTTAAGCTGCTGCCTTCGGCTCAGGTCATGATCTCAGGGTCCTGGGATCCAGCCCTACATCGGGCTCTCTGCTCAGCAGGGAGCCTGCTTCCTCCTCTCTCTCTGCCTGCTTGTGATCTCTGTCAAATAAATAAATAAAATCTTAAAAAATTTTTTAAAGATTTTATTTATTTGTTTGACAGACAAAGATCACAAGTAGGCAGAGAGGCAGGCAGGGAGAGAGGAGGAAGCAAGCTCCCTGCCAAGCAGAGACCCTGAAGCGGGGCTCCATCCCAGGACCCTGGGACCATGACCTGAGCCAAAGGCATAGGCTTTAACCCACTGAGCCACCCAGACGCCCCTCTACCTTGTCTTTTAAAACATCAAATCTGGGCGCCTCAGTGACTCAGTTGGTTGGTCAACTGCTTTCGGCTCAGGTCATGATCCTGGAGTCCCTGGGTTTGGTCCTGCATCGGATTTCCTGCTCGGAGGGGAGTCTGCTTCTCCCTCTGACCCTCCACCCTCTCATGCACTCTCTCAAATAAATAAAATCTTAAAAAAAAAAATCATTATTTTTTACTTCTACAGTATTTTTGTAGGTAACAGTTATTACATTGTTTCATTTAAATAGATAACATATTCAATTCAATACGCAATTCAAAAGGAATACACAATTCAAAAGGAATAAAACGATATACAGTGAAAGGGTGCCTGGGTGGCTCAGTTAAGCATCTGTCTTTGGCTCAGATCACGACCTCAGGGTCCTGGCATCCAGCCCTATGTTGGGCTCCCTGCTCAGCCCTGCTCAGTGGTGACCCTGCTTCTCCCTCTCCCTGGGGGCCCCTCCCTGCTTCATGCTTGCTCTGTCTCAAATAAAATCTTAAAAAAAAAAAAAAAAAAAAAGGATATACAGTGAAGTCTTTAACACCTCTGTCCCCCTGGAGCCTCAGATGTCCTCCCCAACAGTTCATGTGTATCCTGCAGGTATTTTATGCATAAAGAAGCAAATGCATATTGTATATTTCCCTTTTACAAAATGGTAGCAAATTATAGATATTGGTCAACCTCTTGCTTTTTTCTTCTTTCCATGCCTTTTTCATGTTATGTTTTGAAGATTATTCCCTACCAATTAATAAAAACACTTACTCTGTTTTTACACAAGTATTTCTGTTTACCAACTTCTTCGTTCACCCTGCTTGCATCTAACTCCTTCCTTCTGGACTCAATTGCTTTCTTTCCTAGAGAATAATTCTATGTTCTCTCAGCAAAAATCCAAAAATGTTTTCTTCATCCTCCCTTTTATTTTTTAAAGTATTATATTTATTTATTTATTTAGAAAGCACAAGCAGGGGGAGTGGCAGGCAGAGGAAGAGGGAGGAGCAGGCTCCCCACAGAGCAAGGAGCCCAGTGTGGGGGCTCTATCCCAGGATCCTGGGGTCATGGCCCGAGCTGAAGGAAGATGCTTAACCAACTGAGCCACCCAGGTGTCCCCCATCCTCCCTTCTAGTATACGCTGCCGAAGTGAGCACCCCCATCCTCCATTCTAAATACTAATTTATCTGTATGTAGAATTCATAGCCAACATCAATTTTTCTTCCTCAGCACTTAATTTTATTTTATTGTCTCCTGGCCTATATTGCTGCCATTGGAAAGCTTGCTGTTAGTATAATTATTTCTTTGCAGGTGATGTCTTTTCTCTTTGGTTGCTTTTAGATTTTTCTCCTGTCTTTTGCAATTCTGCTACCTGTCTAGAAGTAGAATTGTTTTCATTCAACCTCCTAGATATTTGTTCCTTTTTTTTTTAAACAACAACAAAAAAGTCCTTAAATTGTGGAAAAATCTTCAAATATCTTCTACACTCTTTCTCTTAGCCCTCTTCTATTTCCCATCTCTTCCTCTGTTACAGTGCAGGTATTTTCCTCATTTATCTTCTAGCTCACCAATTCCCTCCAGATATGCCCAATCTGTGGCTTAATCTGTCCACTGCATTAATTTCACTAATTATACTTTTTAGTTCCAAAAGACTTAGCTTTTCATATGTGTTTTGCCTTTTTCATAGTGTCTTTTCTAATGGGTTTTATGCTTTCTTCCCTTGCTCCAATCATTGTAACCATTTTTATTCCATAGTTATTCTACTATTTTAAGTTTGTGGGGGTGCTAATCCTCCAAGATTATGTCTGCTGACTTGTGCTCACAATGGATGGTTTTTGATTTTTGACCATGAGTCCATTTGTCTTTTCTGGACTGCAGGAATGTGATTCGGCTTGGCCTATGGGTTCCCCAACAAGGTTGCCAGAAGGGTCTGTGTGCTTTCATGAGTAATTTTCAAACTGAGATTCTTGAGCATCTGAAGATGTATATGCTTAACATTTTTATTTATTTATTTTTAATTTTTTAAAATTTATATTCAGCGTAACAGTATTCATTGTTTTTGTACCACACCCAGTGCTGCATGCAATCCGTGCCCTCTCCATTACCCCAATATGCTTAACATTTTGAGCTTTTAAAGATTTTTATCTGAACCTTGAAGGATCAATGGTTAGTAATTCTTGCTGTTTTAAAATTCTACGTTCCATATTTGCATGACAACCACTAGTCCTGTAGCATCCTAGGAAACAGTAATATTAGTTACAATAACCAGTCATTACCAACTACGTAACTTAGTGGCACACACAGAACATCATTTAGTTTTCTAAACAATCCTAGGAGAGGAGTACTATAAAGGTTATATAATTTAAGGTTGCATAGTTGGTGAGGGACAGGGTATCTATTCGACCCTAGAGCCCAATCACTTGACGACTATTAATTTAGTCACACAACAAAAATTTACTAAGGAACTACTTACTATGTGCCAGGATGTGCTAAGTGATAGGTATGGGGTTCACGAAACATATTTTTCCTATTTCAAATTCTCTGTGAAGGGTCAGTTTTTTCTTCCTCCTAACTTCCAATTTCCTGCAGACCAGTATTTTTAAGAAATTAAAATTTTTGTTTAAGAAATTAAAAACATTATAGCAATGTTAAATTGTTACAAAAATGTCCTGTCAGTTTTGTTTTCATCTCTCCATGGGTTGGTACCAAAGAGTATGCAGACCAGCTCCCCCTGCAGAACTCTGTGGCACTGCTCTACCGGCAGACTGTATGAGGGGACTCTGGGGAGGACAACTGTGGGTGGATGATGAAGTAGAACGATACTTCTGACAATGGTGGCTTCTCTGGGGGGAGCAAGAACCTCCTAAAAGGGTGTAATTGAAGCCAATACTATACTATATGTTAACTAACTAGAACTGAAATAAAAACGAAAAAAAAAAAAAAGGTATAGTTAAGTATTTTAGGTCACAGTCTGCCTAAGGAGTACGCATGAAAAAGAGGTGGCAGAATGGGGGCTGTGGATTGAGCAGAGAGTGAGAAGGTCACATTATGGTCTAACTTTATAAAAATCTGACCATTTTCCTGGTGAAGATTGGGTACTACTACTTGCTTCCTCTGTCACTCTAGTTCTCTAACAGGGCAGGACAGTAGGTAAAGGGCCAGTCAGGAATACTAATTATAAAAGCTTATGGAAATTTATTTACATGTTTTCTTTCCTCACCACCCAGCAAACAACTGGATCGTATCAGGCACAGGAATGCTTAAGACCTAGCAAGCGCTTTAATAGTATCCTAACTGATACAGTAACATAGAGCTGCTGAAAATTCTTTCAAAGCAAATGACTCATGGGTTATCTGCACCATTATTTTATCATGGAAAGCAGAGAACTGATCACATACACAAAAACACTTACACTGAAATCTAAAATACATTACTATACTTTAAGAGTAATAAATACCACTAACTTTAAGATTAAAAAAAAATTTTTTTTGAAGATTTTATATGTCTGAGATAGAGCGAGAGTGAGCGAAAGCGTGCACAAGCAGTGGGGAGTGTCAGTCAGGCATCTGGAGAAGCAGGCTCCCTGCTGAGCAAGAAGCCAATGTGGGACTCTATCCCAGGACCCTGGGATCATGAACTGAGCTGAAGGCAAACACTTAACCTACTGAGCAACTCGAGTGCTCCGAGATTTTAAAATTTATGAAGTTTTTTTTTAGGGGTGCCTGGCTGGCTCATCAATAGAGCATGCAACTCTTGATCTTGGAGTCATGAGTTCAAGACCCCACTGGGTCAAGACCTACTTGAAGCAAAAACAAACAAACAAATACATTCCTTTTTAGAAGACAGATTACCCAGCAATAAGCTTTGAGGTTTGCCAAAACTTATATTGGATTGATTAAATTTCTGAAAGCATCTTATAGCTACTTCCATCTTAAAGCATCTGAATAGGTTATGGTCACAACATTCAAAATTTTAAACTTTAAACTGCACTCTATCACTGTTAGACGCAGAACTACATTGTTTTCCTGAAATTGTGGTTTATTGTAATCTCAATCCATTTTCTCAAAGACCATTCAACACATTTATACTATTCCAGTAATTACCATGCTACCCAGAAAAACAAATAAACACTTTATTAAGAATTAAATGAGGGTATGGAATGTGATACAGTACAAGTAAGACACCCAAGATGGATATAATAGTACTACTCACAAAGTTAAATCTCACTTCAAAAAAAAAAAAAAGAAAAAGAAAAAGAAAAAGAAAAAAAGCAAAAATCACAAGACAAAAGAAAAAGCAATTCCATCATTATAAAGTAAGATATTCATGCAAAAACTCCAAAAAAATTCTCCAAACCACCCCCAACCCCCCGAAACAGCCAACAAACAAAAAGCTATCTGAAAATATTGCCATGCTAACATATTAACCACAATGTAATCATTCATAGGAAAACAACACAGTAATTAAGCAATGGATTAGATGAAACAACACAGGCTACAGTCATAAACTCAGAGACCTTGATGACTTTACATGATAAGCAATTCCAGATTCACTTACAAGGGGAGTGTTATGGGGTCAAAGTTGGGAGATATGGTCATGTAAATATAAACTCCATTAACTCATCTCATTATCTCCTAATTATAAAACCTGGATGATTCCAGAATCTGAAAAATTATATAAAATCTGGCATACTCCATTTGTGTTCCAAGAAATTACTTCAGGATCATAATTGCAATTATTAGAGCGCTGTATAAAAGCACTTCAAGGTCAGGAATATGATCACAATTTACATCATAGAAACAACTCCAGATATGCATTTAGTCTGATTAACTCTTACTTAGGACAAGAAACATGATTTTCTAGCACTTTATGTACAAGTTACTGCAAAGAGCCAGGTAATTTAGAGATAGAATAAAATGTAAAACAAAAGTGAACTGGTACAGAGAGTGAAGGGGAACATTCTCACTTAGAGACTTAAGTCGGTAAAAACCTGCCTTGCCTCTTGAGGCAGCTAGAGTCAACAAATACACTGCTCTAATTCATGTCTCTGGGCCAAGAAGCTTTAGCCGATTTCATGGAAAACACAGTTTTCCTTTAGAAAACAGGAATGGCATTTTACGGGACAGCACTTCCCTCCACAGCTGCCCAACAGGCCTGTCACCATATAGTGCACACACACAGCGTATTTCCAGGTGACTGTGATGTCACAATGAAGCTATCCAGGACCAGGAAGCACCGTGTTATAGCACCTGCCCATGAAGATGACCTGGAGAGAACTGAGACACTTATATTTGTTTCATGGTTCTGGGTTCAGCTTACCTATGGTGTGCAGATTGACTGTAATAGTGAGGCCAAGGAAGAAGAACAAGAAAAAAATACTTAGGACAAAAAAATGACCCCCTCTCATTTCCTTTTTTTCTCCTTTCAATTTAGGGTAATTAGAACAGATTGGAAAATTATTCAGGATTCCTCTTCCTACCTCTGAAATGTAACTTCCTATTTACACTCGACAAAAAGAATCCTGTAATTAATTGCTCAGTGGCAGGATGCAGCCTCTGAAATAAAAAAGCACTTGCTCTGACTTTCACAAAATGAAATGAGAAAATTTTCCAATGCGAAACCCAGAGTTTGAGGCCAGTAAAGAAGTGTCTTTAATCATCAGGACGTTCATAGAGCTCTTTGGAATGTGTCTTATACATAAAAGGTAATCACAAATTAAATCCCCAGAGTCTTCATGAAGTAAGTTCTTCAATGGGAAAGATTTCTAATGAGAGATAAATGCTTCCATCAGCTAATTAAATCTGATAAATCAATCTTTCCCAACTGACAAAGTCTTTGCTAACAGTTTAACCATAGCCTCTGGAATCAGATGTTAAGTTCACTCAGTCATGATGATGCAAGATGAAATACAGATGTGCAGTACATATGAAAAAAATGTGTAAACCGCTGCAGTTCTGAAACAGTAGATTTATATTACAAAGCAATGTAAATAAATACTGGGCTAGTACAAAAGCTCTTATTTACAGTTTTACAAATGAAATTGTATTCAGTGTAAATGCTGTGTTTTAAAGAACACAGTGCTGTATTAGTAAAATGAGTTCTGTGGAGGGGATTACAGTTTCTGTCAGAATCAATGCATAACCTATAAAAGATTCAAGTTAACTTTGTTTATAATTTAGTACAGACAAACCCAGTTTAACCTGGAATGGCATCTGTTAAAGTGCTGAAAAACAGGAAATATTTAGAAAACACTGTACATTATTAAAGCTTTATCAAGTCAGAATGTTAAACTTCTTTCACATTTTTTATCCTTCTGTCACAGGCTTGTGGACAAGATGGTATTTCTCAGCGAAGGAGTAGAACTTAAGAGGCCACCAGCTGCTTAGATGATTTTATTAGGTTCAGTGGATTTAGCTTCCTAAAACAACTATTTATCCATCAACCATACCTTCAGGCCTCATAATCTGGTAAGTAATTAAATATTCAGGATAAGCCTGGAAGAGAAAGATTAATTTAAATGTTGGTAAACAAAATTTTTTGAAAGGTGATTTTACCATAAGAATTCCTAATCTTTAGAGAAGAGGTTCTAAATTAATGTGTGGATCAGACTCCTCTTTGGGCATTTTCTTAAAACATCCTTATCTTGATTCCAATCCCTCTTAGGTTCCGAATCAGCAGGTCTAGGATGAATCCTAAGCATTTTTTTTTCTTTTTTTTTTAAAGATATTATTTATTTATTTGACAGATCACAAGTAGGCAGACAGGGAGGCAGAGAGAGAGGGGGAAGCAGGCTCCCTGCTGAGCAGAGAGCCCAATGCAGGACTCGATCCCAGGACCCTGAGATCAACACCTGAGCCGAAGGCAGAGGCTTTAACCCACTGAGCCATCCAGGTATCCATGTTTGTTTTTAATAACTGAGGAGATCCTGGTACGTATCCTCAGTTCAGAACACTGCTCTAGAGATGCTTCTGACTGCATCTGTGTCACTAAGAGCAGGAGAGAATTGTATGTTTCTCTGCTACGGACAGGTTAACTACAAAATATAAGATTCTGATTAATTATATCTTATGGAAGGTTAAAAAACGGAAAAAAGATCCACCAAAATTGGCAAAATCTGAATAAAGTCTATAAGATAATATTCTATCAATGTTATCTTCCCAATGTTGATAATTTTAAAAGAGAATGTCCTTGTTTTTGGGAAATACACATTGAACCATTTAAGGCTACACAGCAAGCCTACAATGTCCTCTCAAGCAGGTCAGGAGAAAAATCTGTATTCATAGAAACAAGGGAGAATGATAAAATGTTAACATTGGGAAAATCGGGGCAAAGGGTATATGGGAATTCTCTATTATTTTTGCTACTTATCCATAAATCTAAAATTATTTCCAAATAGAAGTTAAAAAAACCCCAGCCCAGTTCTTAAGGCAATATGCCTTGTCAATTTAAGAGAGTAGTAAGAAGAGTTTATTAAAGTATGGCTCTAAATCATTCTGAAGATGAACAAATAAAACTGAATTACCTGTTCTCCTCTGTAAATAACATATTCAGCTAATGCTAGACCGTTCACGCTGGGTCGACCAGTGACTGAGTGATGTCCTGGAGGAGAATGTGCCATTTTCATTGCACTGAACTGCAGGAAAGACTTTCCCAAGGTTACCCGGCAAAAGAGCAGCTGCCTGTAACATGAAAAGATCTCCCTGACAACAAGGTAGTACATGGCAGTTTTATTTCTGTACAGTGCATAAGCTTTTTAGTGTATTTATACAGAGTTATTGGTCATTTCATCCTTAAAAGAACTTTGCAGGAATGACTTCTACTCTCATTAATGAATTTGCCACTTTAATTCTTATTTTAACTATATAAACTGAAAATGTAACAACCTCATAGAGATGGAAACTCTGCTCTGGTCGGTACCCAGAGGAGAAGCACAAACCACAGCCCAAGTGGGAAGAAGGGGATTTAGGAAGCTCCCACAAAGTAGCGTGCAAAGATGAACATCTATCCAACTAATCAAGTCTAATTGATTTCACCTTCAAAATGCATTTGAAATTCATTTTCTTAATTCTATTGCTATTGTTAAATTCAAATCACCAAAATTTTTATTTGGACTGGGAATAATGGCCTCTGAACTTCTATTTCTCCTCTAATTCCTAGCTAAACTATTTTCCATCCAAGCAACCAGTTATCTAAAAAAAAACCAACCCAACACATAAAACATTAATCAAATCACATCACTTTACTGCTTGAAACTTTGCAGAGGCTACTTAGTGTACTTGGAAGAAAACCCAAATTGCTTACAATGGCTCTAAATTCTCAAATCTTACTTCGTGTTCACTGTGCACCAGGAGCATTAATTTCCTTTCTTCACACAGGCCAACTTTCTGAACTTCACGGGCATCATACACACCACTTCCTTTACCACAGAGAATGGTACCTATTTCTGCCACTCTTAACTACCACTCATTTTTTTAGGTTTCAGCTGAAATGTTAATTCTTCAAATAGTTTTCCCTTATCAGAAATTTGAGGAGATTACTCTCCCAATCCCTTCAGGTGTATGACTGACCTTCCTTGTTTCCAATGAACCTTTTTTTTTTTTAATTACTTAATGGTTTCTTTTCTTTGTTTTTCAGAGGAGAAAAGATTTTGGTGAGCCAGTTGATTCTGTTCTCCAAAGAAGAGAGGCTACCTATACTTTTTATTCTAAATATGCTTGTTGGATAAAGCCTTAGCATTTCTAGTAGATTTCTATTATAGTTACGATCAGCCCTGTGATAACCAAAACACAAAAGTCTTAAGTTAATAAATTATTTGTAGAGAACCAACCTTTCTGTTCCAAAGACAGTTTGCAAGACTGTAAAACACTACTTATTATAATCAGAACTATTTTAACTATGAGTTAAAGAGAAAGTACTCAGAACTTTCACCTCCAGATAATGTGACAGCAGAGTTCAATTTATAGACTCTCAAGAAATTATAAGCCTTTTAACCTGTCCAATTAATTTATGATCTAAACAGAAGAGGATGGGAGTTCATGCCCAGAAGGGCTGACTTCAGGTGCCTACACAAGTCTAAATTTAAGGGGAAAACAAGAGTAATATAAAAAAAGACCTTGTTTTCCTCCAAGATTGCAGTTCTTTACTTGGCAACCTTTCACAATCAGCTGGGAAGACTTAAAAAAAAAAAAAAAAAAATCCCAATGTCCAGAAATTTTAAGAGATTCTCTGAGGGTGGGACAACGGCATCAGTAGTTTTTAAAGCTCCCCAGGTGATACCAACGTGTCACCAAGGCTGAGAACTAGTGCTCCAGGGCTTTCTTATAGATCATTGATCAGAAAACATCACCACCCCGGAACTCAGCAGAAATTCAAGTTCTTGTGCTTTATCCCAGACCTACTAAATCAGCAACTGAGCAGGCAGGACTTAGGAATCTGTTTTAGCAAGCCTTCTAAATGATTCTCTTGTCTGCTAATGTTTGATGAAGATTGTTCTAGGTTTTTTAAAAATTTTTTTTAAAGATTTTATTTATTTGATAGACAGAGATCACAAGTAGACAGAGAGGCAGGCAGAGAGAGAGGAAGGGAAGCAGGCTCCCTGAGCAAAGAGCCCAATGCGGGGGCCTGAGCCTAGGACCCTGAGATCATTACCTGAGCTGAAGGCAGAGGCTTTAACCCGCTGAGCCACCCAGGCACCCCGTTCTAGATTTGTATAAGAAACGCCCTAACTATAGAATAAACTGCAATAATTAATTTTACTCAATTTTTCCAATGGCAAAAGATAATTTGTGCTTACCTATAAAGAGTTTATTAACAGGGGCAAGTTATCTAAATGATTTTAACAGCTGAGTTATTAGACCAGGGTAACTAAGAGTGGAGAAAGAAAGTACAAAGTAGTTATTTGATATTAATGTACTTTTTAAAAGGGATTGATGTGTTTTGTTATAACTTTTCAAGTTGTAATATCGTAAATTGAAGATTCTAGGATCCTATCACAGCAGAAGAGAGACTCCCTCATGCACTGCTATGAAATAAGTAGGCTTGGCAAGTAATGCCATTTTAGCATTTGAGTTCTGTCTATTTAAATAGGAGGAGCAGGGGCCTGGGGGGCTTGGTTGGTTAAGGGTCTGCCTTTGGCTCAGAGTCCTGTGACTGAGCTCCACATCAGGCTCCCTCATCAGCTGTGGGTCTGCTTCTCCCTCTCCCTATGTGATCTTTCTCGCGTGTGCTCTCTCTTATTAAAAAAAAAAAAAACAAACCCTCCACAAAACTTTAAATGGGAGTGGGAGGGGCAGAGGGAGAGGGAGAAAATCTTAAGCAGCTCCACACCCAGCAATGGAGTCTAACATGGGGCTTGAGGATCATGATTTGAGCCAGAATCAAGAGTCAGACACTTAACTGACTGAGCCATCATCCAGATGCTCCTTGAATAACGTATTTTGAAAAAATCTACACTCCTATAATATTTAAGAGACACAATAAAATCTCTCAAGTCCAAAGATATTGTCTATTCCATATTCTTTAAAACACTAGGTGTTCCAATGATTAAATGATTTAAATAGGTCAACTGCTCAGAACTGTGCTTGTCCTATACAGATTATTTAATAAATACTAGCTATAATTACAACTGGTGAGAGGGCCAAAAACAACCTGAAACATGCCTAGCTTGGATTTCTAAAGTTGTCCAAGATGATGCCCTTCTCTCCAAATTTCTCAAATATGAAACCAGTTCTTATCAAAATAAATGAGAATTTAAGAAATAAGAGAGAGGATCACAGGGGAAGAGAGGAAAAAATGAAACAAGACAAAACCAGAGGGGGAGACAAACCATAAGAGACTCTTAATCATAGGAAGCAAACTGAGGATTACTGGAAGGGAAGCGGGTGAGGGATGGGGTAACCGGGTCATGGATGCTGGGAAGGGCATGTGCTGTAATGAGCACTGGGTATTATATAAGATTTATGAATCACAGACCTATACCCCGTAACAAATAATACATTATATTTAATTAATTGAATTTAAATAAACAAAATGAGAACAAGTAATCTCTTACCTGTGGCAAACATAACAAGATCTGTCTTTGTGAATTGGACACCCAGTACCTCCTCCAATTCCATAAACATACTGATTGCTTTTTGAAGAGTTTTCAGCAAAATAAATCCCAGCTCCAAACATGCCACCTATGTAGGCATGCCTTTCATCGAAGCCTTTATGGATAATTGCATTCACAAAGGGAGATCCTAAAATACATGTAGGTAAGTAACAATTTAAAATTATCTTAGAAGAAAAATAAAATGAAACGTTCTTTGAAGTTAAATTCCTAAACAGACATACCTGAATACCACAATAAAGAATATAAAAAAACAAGTATAACAAGTTAACTGTCAGCTAGTTTATGCCATTAGAATAAATAACTATTTTAGAAGACTTGCTAATACCAACTGCTGTTTCTAGTAAGGTGGTGGATGAGATGTCAAAAAAAAAAAAAAAAAAAAAGACACGCACAGATTCAACTAGAAAAAGGAAAGATTACTTGAAGTACCAATGTTAAAGTTATTAAATTCCAGACCCCAAATCCATATAAATCCAGAACCAAGAGTTTCACACAATTTACCTAATATAGCAGTGGTGAGTGCAATTAAGTCTTACACTGACACTCACATCTGTGTACATTTTTTAGGTATCAAAAGTGGCCGAAGTGTGTTTTTTTTTTTTAAAGATGTTATTTATTTGACAGAGAGAGAGAGAGAGTGAGTGTGAACACAAGCAGGGGGAGTGGCAGGCAGAGGGAGAGGGAGAAGCAGCTCCCCGCTAAGCAGGGAGCCCAATGTGAGACTTGGTCCCAGGACGCCGGGATCATGACCTGAGCTGAAGGCAGATGCTTAACTAACTGAGCCACCCAGGTGCCCCTTTATTTTTTTAAAAGGATTTTATTTATTTGCCAGAGAGAGAGAGAAAGCACAAGAAGGGGGAGTGGCAGGCAGAGGGAAAAGCACCCAGAAGGAGAATCAGGCTCCCTGCTGAGCAAGAAGCCCAATATGGGACTCTATCCAAGTATCCTGGGATCATGGCCTGAGCCAAAGGCAGACACTTAACTGACTGAGCTGCCCAGGCATCCCCAATGTGGTTTTGTCATGTTCATTCACTTCTTTTTTTTTTGTAAGGATTTACTTACTTGAGAGGGAGAGAGAAAGACCGAGTAAGTGAGCATGAGCGCATGCAGGTGTATGTGTGTGTGTGTGTGTGGGGGGGGGTAATGGAGAGAGGAAGAGATAGTGTTAAGCAGACTCTGCATGAAGTCCTACATGGGGCTTGATCTCATGACCCTGAGATTAGGACCTGAGCCAAAACCCAGAATCGGAGGCTTAACTGACTGCTCCACTCAGACGCCCCTGTTCTCTTCTTTATACCTCTTCTCTCCCATCCTTCCACTTCTCTGCCTGAAATCCCATTATACCAGATTCTATCTGCAAATGTGGTGTGTTCTTTGTTCTCTGCATACTGACTACTTTCTCCCGGTTCCTTGCATGTGTGCCAAGAAGAGCTTAGCCAAAGGGAAGGAGGTAGTCATGGGAACCAGGCCAGAGAGTAGGGTGAGGGGTGGGTGTTGGGGAAAGCCAATATAACAGTTCACTGATTCATTAAGATTAGTGTCCCTGTTCATAAAGGGATGGGAAAATATGCTGAATTCCACTCTGTAGATATACTGAAGGACAGAATCACTTATTTGAATTACTTTGGAAAAACTAAAATCATTTATACTATAAAATAGATAAATCATTCATTTTATCAAGTCAGTACATAAATAAATCATACTCTGTGACAAGGGATTATCATAATGATTTCTATGATTTCAGAATGAGAAATGTTATTTAGATATTATGTACCAATTCAGTCTGCTATAGCCACTCTTCCAAAGGACTATGAAATTAAAATGCTGTGTTCTATAGAACTTTATAGTTCTATAAAAAATCTTCTGCAATCAAAGCCAAATAAAAAAACAGATGGGACTACTATATGCTTGAAGACTTGATAAACACTGTATTACTATCTACATTCATCTTTGCTATAAATTTCAAAGACTGGGGTGCCTGAGTGGCTCAGTAAGTTGGACGTCTGACCCTTGATCTCAGCTCGGGTCTTGGTCTCAGGGTTGTGGGTTCAGGCCCCATGTTGGGCTCCACACTGCTTAGAAAAAAAGAAAGACCAACCAAAATCTGTTAGTTTGCAACATAAAAAAACTCAGGAAATTTCAAAAATAAAGTTGCTCTCAATTCTACGTTAAGTTCTCTGAAAATTCCCTAAGTTCAATGATAAAAATGGCTTAAAAAAAAAAAAGATTTATTTATTTTTAAAAGTAATCTCCATCCCTAAAATGGCGCTTGAACTCAGGAAACCAAGATTAAGAATCACTTGCTCTATTGACTGAGCCAGCCAGGCACCCTTGACTGATAATGGCTCTTTTAACACAATGAAGTTAAATGTAGTTTTTTGTTTGTTTGTTTTTTAAAGATTTTACTTATTTATTTGAGAGAGCACAAGCAGGGTGAAGGGCAGAGGGAGAAGCCGACTCCCTGCTGAGCAGAGAGCCTGATTAGGGCCTCATTTCCCGGACTCCAGGATCATGACTTGAGCTGAAGGTTAGCAGCTTAACGACTGAGCCACCCAAGCAACACACCCCCCCTTTTAAAAAAGGATTCTATTTACTTATTTGTAGTTTTGATACTTAGAATCAAAGGCAGAACAGGATGTGTATGGTCTTCTGAGGCGATTTTCAGACCTTGTTTCATTTTACTTTTATTTTTGTGAAAGAGTGAGAGAGCGAGAGAGCAAGCTCCTAAGCGGGTGGGGGTGGGTGTGTGGGGGTGGAGGGAGAGGGAGAGAGACTCTTAGGCAGTCTCCACACTCAGTGGAGACAGAGCCCAACTGGGGCTTGGCCTCCTGAGATCATGACCTGAGCCAAAGTCAAGAGTCCGATGCTTAATGACTGAGCCACCCAGGGGCACCTCAGCCCTTGTTTTAATTTTAAGGCAATCAATTAGTTAAAAGTAAAACACACCATTTCTCAGAGTGATCATAATATGCAGTTCTGATATAAAGAGAAGAGGAAAATATGAATAGTCAACATTTCCATTTGTATATTTTGTCCTTATGTGATCCTATTTATGAACAATACATTATAAAATATACAACTTCAAAAAAGGTTGGGAATACAAATATAAATCTAGTATTTAGAGAAATAGTATTTATTTTTAAAAAGTGGCATGAGAGAGTGGGGGCACCTGGGTGGCTCAGTGGGTTAAAGCCTCTGCCTTCAGCTCAGGTCATGATCCCACGGTCCTGGGATCAAGCCCCACATCGGGCTCTCTGCTCAGCAGGGAGCCTGCTTCCCCCTCTCTCTCTGCCTGCCTCTCTGCCTACTTGTGATCTTGGTCTGTCAAATAAATAAATTAAAATCTTAAAAAAAAAAAGTGGCATGAGAAAAATAGGCTCATTATTTCATACATGATTAAAAAATAATGTAGAAGAGGATGGTAGTAGGATGGGGGAAGAAAACCCTTTTTAAAAAATTTTTTAGGGCGCCTGGGTGGCTCAGTGGGTTAAGCCTCTGCCTTCGGCTCAGGTCATGATCTCAGGGTCCTGGGATCGAGTCCCGCATCGGGCTCTCTGCTCAGCAGGGAGCCTGCTTCTCTCTCTCTCTCTCTCTCTGCCTGCCTCTCTGTCTACTTGTGATCTCTCTCTGTCAAATAAATAAATAAAATCTTTAAAAAAAAAAAATTTTTTTAAAGTAAGGTTTGAACTCACAACCCTGAGATGAAGAGTTGCATGCTCTCTCTACTGAGCCAGCCAGGTACCTCGGAGAAGAGGAATCTTACCATGAAACAGCATTCTTTCATTTGCATGGTTGTGGTTTTCTTCAGAAACTTCTTTTCTCCTGTGAGTGTATCTTTCCCATAGTTTCTTGTTACAAACTTTCTGAATCTATAAAAAAGAAATCAGAAAAATCAAAATCTTAGTTCATAATTACTTACCTACTTGTTCATCTTAACTAAAATGGTCCACACAGCCAGTAGAGGCGCAAAAGTTTTTTCTGAAATGTAAACTATGTTTTATTTCAGTCAACTAAAAATACCTGGTCTCAAACATAAAGACAGAAATATAGCTACATTTTGGAAATCAAAAACTTCAAAGGGAAAAAAAGCTACATATAGCCTTATGTGAAGGTCAGGAATACTGTTGACTAAAATACTTCCATTCTAATTTAGAATTATTACTAAAACATCTCCCAATCAGGTATGTGGAGTTCTATATATAAATATTAAAAAGAGACAGTTTCTTTCAACCTCCCCCTGCTTTATCTGGCTCGAAGTATCATCTTTATCTGTTATTAATTAAAAATATTTGAAATAGCCACACCAAACACCATTTTTAAGACATGTACAGAAACACAGAGACATACCCTCTACTCTTCCCTATCCTTCCAATTCCTAAAAGTTTTGTTTGGAGAACCATTAAAGATGGTCTCATTTGGAGTATTTATTTTTATTATTATTATTATTATTTTTAAAGATTATTTATTTATTTGACAGAGATCACAAGTAGGCAGAGAGGTAGGCAGAGAGAGAGGAAGGGAAGCAGGCTTCCTGCTGAGCACAGAGCCCGATGTGGGGCTCCATCCCAGGACCCTGGGTTCATGACCTGAGCTGAAGGCAGAGGCTTTAACCCACTGAGCCACCCAGGTGCCCATATTTTTATTATTTTTTTAAGATTTTATTTATTTATTTGACAGAGACGGAGAAATCACAAGTAGGGAGAGCAGCAGGCAGAGAGAGGGAAAAGCAGGCTCCCCACCGAGCAGAGAGCCCGACGCAAGGCTCGACCCCAGGACCCTGAGATCATGACCTGAGCCGGAGGCAGAGGCTTAACCCACTGAGCCACCCAGGCACCCCTCATTTGGAGTATTTCTAGGATTAAAAATCATAATCCTAGAGCTGTTTCTTGGCTGTGTTTAAAGGTGCTACAGACCCTTGCTGGTCCCAGAGCACATCTGGGCGGTGGTGGTTTTAGCCTTGGCTCAAAAAACTCAAAATACCACCACAGATGTAATCAATGAACACAACTGACACAGAGATCTCATTTATATAAAAAAAAAAAAACAAAAAACAAAAAACAAAAAAAAACAAAAACCTCTCCCCAAAAAACAAAAATGAAGTTTTGTCATTGAAAAATTCATTAAATATTGCATTAAAATATCTTTACAGAGGAAGGAAACAGCATACCTTTTCTCAACTTTTAACTATTTTGAAAATCAAAGATATATCCTCTCTCCTGTGCCCACCCTTAACAAATCTCTATACATTTTGTTACTACTTGCAGATAATGCAGACTTGACTGAAATTTGCCTGTTATATGCATAATTGTGTCTTATTAAAAATTATTATATATGTTCATGAATAGAAATCTCAAGGTGTCACTCTTGACCTACTATGATATAAACTAATAAAACGGAGCTTCCAGAAGTAGGATTCCTTTACTTGAATAATGTGTGCTTTTGTTTTAAATCATCTAACGGGGGGCGCCTGGGTGGCTCAGTGGGTTAAAGCCTCTGCTTTCAGCTCAGGTCATGGTCTCAGGGTCCTGGGATCGAGCCCTGCATTGGGCTCTCTGCTCAGCAGGGAGCCTGTTTCCCCCTCTCTTTCTCTGTCTGCTTCTCTGCCTACTTGTGAACTCTGTCAAATAAATAAATAAAATCTTTAAAATAAAATAAAATAAATCATCTAACGGTATGAACAAAGCAATCTCAATAGTTTCAGTATTCACTAACTCTAAAATATGACATCTAATATTATACTCGTAATAGTTTATTATTCTTGAAACAGTAATATAAAACAGATTAAAGATTTGATACTATTCACTTTTGAGTTTAAAATTCAGGTATTATAGGGGCGTCTGGGTGGCTCAGTCGTTAAGCATCTGCCTTCAGCTCAGGTCATGATCCCAGGGTCCTGGTATCCAGCCCCATGTTGGGCTCTCTGCTCAGTGGGAAGCCTGCTTCTCCCTCCCCCTGCTTGTATTCCCTCTCTCACTGTCTCTCTATCAAATAAATAAATGAAATCCTTAAAAAAAATAAAGTAAAATTTAGGTATTACAAAAACATTTGCCACATTTTAATTGTCTTTAGAATTATTAAGCTATATGAGCGTAGCTCACAAAAATATTTATGCATCTCAAGTAGAGTGTGCATTTTTTTTTTTTAAGATTTTATTTATTTATTTGACAGAGATCACAAGTTGGTAGAGAGGCAGGCAGAGAGAGAGGAGGAAGCAGGATCCCCGCTGAGCAGAGAGCCTGATGTGGGGCTCGATCCCAGGACCCTGAGATCATGACCTGAGCTGAAGGCAGAGGATTTAACCCACTGAGCCACCCAGGCGCCCCTAGAGTGTGCATTTTTGCTTGCTGTAGTTCAAGAAAAACACAGCAAAGCTGGAAAAGGCCCTGAGAAAGTCAAGAAAAAGGACTCTCGTGTGAATGACTCACAACATTTTTTAAAGACTGTTTTTGGAAAAGATGAAGATATAGAAGGGGTACTACTAAAATTACAGAAAAGTGACAGGTAGGGGGACTCAGAGAAACCTGGAGTAGTCTCAGGACAAATAAAAGGAAGCATGCTGTAAGACGGAGACCTCCACTGAGCCACACAAAAAAATTCGGCTCTGTTATATAACAGAGTACCTTAATAGTAATTTTTATATTTCAAGTCCTAAACCTACAGGATTTATCGTTATTCCAAGATAAGGCAAACGTGCTAAACTTTAGTATGGTCAAGAGGGGCTGAATTATTCATTATGAAAACAGCACCGCCACCGCCACCGCCACCGCCACCACCAACAAAACAAAACAAAACAAAACCGAACAGCACAGGGATTTCTGAGACTCTACACCTTCCAAGGATATCATCTTTCTCAAAATATCCCGATGTTACGTCAAAGACTTCCTAGGCTAAAAGATCATTATAGTCTTATGAAAGTTAATGATCATTTCAAGCTTTGGAAAACCACAGTCTCCGAAAACTTTATTTTCACTAACTTCTCACCTTGAGAATATTGTATCTGTTGAAGATCCCACCTGCATGACCTCCATCTCTGTGCTCTCGGACTGTACTTTGCATCTGGGGGAAAAAACGCGTCAAATAAATGTGTATTAACTTTTGTTTCTTCTGATATGGGGAACATGGTTCTTGACTCCTATGATTCTGTTTTTGAGAATACAAAATGAGATTTTGATGTATCTGTTGTTTAAGGAATAGGAGTCCTATAAATTCACAAGGGCTGTTTTCTAGAGATAATTAGTCAATATGAAAACTACTTACAGGTGAAAATTATATAATGCAAACTAAAGGAAGAGAAAAACTGATGCACAGGTGAGTTAAACACACAAAGCTAATCACCTGACATGCTAAAAAACAAAGCAATCACTTATTTGTTCCAATTCATGTTGCCCTTATTAATAAAGCACAATTTGTACTTCATCGAGAATTGGAGTTTCTTGAATTTTAGAACTCAGTCCTACTTAACTTTTTATCTCTGTGTTCCTCACACACATGTTCTTCAAAAGTGTAAGGCATTATTCAGAGGTTTCAGTGGATCCAAGAGTTTTGTGGAAAGATATCCAGAAGAAAAATTTCCTAGATAAGTAGCATCCACATACTCTGGGTTTTGTCTGAGATACTGGGCTTTGTAATTGTCTTCATGAAGGGAGGGAATATTGGCATTTTTTTTTTTCCCAAACGAAAGTAAACTCTTTTCCAACAGAATTCTGTGTTAGTATCAATTGTAGTACTGAACCAAGTTACTGGAATTAAAGTTTATTGAGGGAGTGTACCTTAAATACTAAATTTGAATGTTTTCCAAGTGGTAAAAGAGTTAAGGACAATTAAAAAACCCTACGATATTTTTAAGATCTGGAAACCTCTAGGAAGTTTAGCTACTGAACCAACATTCATTTAAGGTATATGAACATACCTCTTCCTCCACAGACTGAAACTCTTTATCATCAGGAGATAGATCTATGAGAATTGTTCCACTTCCAGAGGTGTTCAGAGTTAAGTATGGGTTAAGACCTAGCAAATGAAATTTAAAGGTAAAAAGATATATGCCAAAAAACCCCCCAAAGTTAACATCAACCAAAAACAGCTGCTTGATTTATGATGTTTACTACTGATTTTTAAAAACTTTTAATTTTGGATGAATTTAGATTTTCAGGAAGGCTGAGATCCTATTGAGAGTTCCTGTGTACCCTTCACTAAACTTCCTAATGTTATCATTAAGAACATTAATGCTCCCCCAGTGTTACCATTTTATATAGCCACAGTGCACCTGTCACACTAAGTAAGTAAATTATAGACTTTATCTGGATTTCACTAGTTTTTCCCACTAATGTCCTCCTTTTTCTGTTCTAGGATCCAAACCAGAACACCACACTGCATTTAGACTACTAATTTTGACACAAGCTATAAGGGTTTCCTGGGAATAGTTCAGAAAATCTTTTTTTTTCTTTATCTCTTTTCTTAAGTTTGTCACACATTTTTTTCTTCAGTTATTTCCTTCACTAACTATACAGCCCTTTCCGCACTTAGCCTTTAATTTTTGTAAATATGAGGTAGAATTATGACAAACTTGTCTAGCCTCAGGTAATTCTGAATCATCTCAGAATGATTAACTCGACAAAGTTTACTAACTACTGAATGTTTCTTCTAACCACTAACAGTTTTTAATTCAGCAATGAATGTTGTGTTTTCTTGAATGTCAGTAGTTAAGATAACTGTTAAGTTTTTAAATGGAGTGTTGAACAGAATTTTCTAATTTCTTTGGTGTATCTGGAACACACACCTCTCCCTCAGTCCCTACAACAAGATCCCTAATGCTCTGCTGTTTTCCCAGGTAGGGATCAAATTCATTATTGCTGGCTCAGCGCATGGCAGTTTGCCCCTGGAGAGTTAGAGCACTGTTCTAGTCTGAATAACAAGACTACCATCAACATGCTAAACTCTGATAAAGACTTACAGATATAGCTGAATTACAATATCTACAAGAAGTGTGGAGACTTACAAAAGGGAATAGTTCAACGAATAAAGACTTAACAAAATAAAGAGTATGACACATGCTTGAACCTGTGTACCATCCTAAGATGTTTCAGCAGTGCTCAAAGATGAGGACAAGTCATCTATTGACTTGATGCACTGATGGATAGCTAGGGCTAATCCAGCAAAATGACAGACTGTCAGAAGACTACTGCGGTTCCACTCTGCAAAATGTATAGAATCATGGCTTCAAATGAAGACAAGAAAGGTGGTAACTTTATGCAGGCAAGTGACCCTGATCTGCTAGAGCAGATACAGTTATTCTGTGCCGTAAAAATTCTCCTTCATGTAGGAATGAATGTTCCTTTGCAATTGCAGCTGGATGTTATCAGAGTGACTACAGACCAGAGGTGGCATGCAGTTACATACCTCTGCCATGTGGAGGCAGTGTATCCGTTTCTGCCATCGTTTCCTTAGCCTTTAAATGTAGTCTTTTAAAAAAATTTTTTTTAAACATCTTAATTTTTTCAGTGCCCAAGATTCATTGTTTATGCACCACACCCAGTGCTCCATGCAATACGTGCCCTCCTTAATACCCACCACCAGGTTCACACATCCCCTCATCCAAAACCCTCAGTTTGTTTCTCAAGAGTCCACTCTCATGCTGGTCTCCCCCTCTGATTTACCCCAATTCACTTTCCCTTTCCTTCTCCTAATGTCCTCCATGTTACTCATCATGCTCCACAAATAAGTGAAACCATATGATAATTGACTTTCTCGGCTTGACTTATTTCACTCAGCATAATCTCCTTCAGTCTTGTCCATGTTGTTACAAAAGCCGGGTAGTCATCTTTTCTGATGGAGGTGTAATATTCCATTGTACATATGTACCACATCTTCTTTATCCATTTATCTGTTGAAGGGCATCTTGGCTCTTTCCACAGTTTGGCGACTGTGGCCACTGGTGCTATGAACATTGGGGTACATATGGCCCTGTCTTAATAACTGTATCCCAGACACTGTATGTTTAATAAACAAACACTGCCTGATTCCTTTTTTAACCTGCCTCTTTACTAAATGATCCTTGTTAGTCTAGTACTCCACTGGAATTTCTATCCTACCAGATCTACCTACTATTATTCTAGTAGAGTCATGATGGCCATCCACCCACAACTAACTGAGAGTTCTAGTTTCTCTTCATTTTTGGTGTTTTTTATATTGTATACTAACATTCCAGGGAGCCATGGCTCTTCCCTCCTTTTTATCTTATACAATTTTGTGATCTATAAGACATATTCCAGACTACCTCACATTTTAAACATTTTTGCCTTAGACCCTGCCAGGCAAGTAAAATGCATCTACCTTTAGTTGGTCCTATTCCAGAATTCCAGTTTAAAGATATTCCTTAACTTCAATCACCTAACTTTTAGAGGTATTTTTTCAAGAGATGGACCCTATCCTGCCTATCATACACCCTCCCCTGAAAATGTCTTCATTTTTGTTAGTCTAGGTTTTTCTTGGACTCTAGTTGTATAGCCAGGACTTCAATGACAGGAAGTATCTAACCCCAGAGACAGTGAATCATGCCCTCAGTTGAACTATGGGTCTTGATACTTAGAACACTTCACCTTTTTACCCAGGACCTGGTACACAGGAAATGTTAACTAACAAATGCAATCTGCATTTTTTTAAAGTACCAACATTCAGAAGAATTAAAGATATTACTCAATGCTGTTTTCCCAGATTTCCTCATTACAACAGGAAAACAAGTTCTCCCAGTACTTCCACTACAAGTGTTTAGAATTTAGCCATTTACAACAGAGATTTACATTATTTTATGGGCAGGCCTGAATGTCTAGGCATTGCCTATTATATTACCATAAGAAAGGAAATATTCACGTTTCTGATCTTTTAGAATCATAAAATTTTAAGAGCTAGAATAATTTCAGAGCAAAAGAAATTCCCAAACTTCTGAACGGCCCAGAAATCTTACTTAGGTTCACATAATTACCGGCAGAAGCTCAGGAAACGTTAACAGTAGCAGTGTTATGACTTGATACCAGGATTCTCAAATTCTAGTGTTCTTCATGTTGAATGGACTCGCTCTCACAGATTTATTAATTATCATTTAGTAAGCTGAGGGTTGTCTTATGTCAACTGTTAAACTGATGACCGCATTAATTTAAAATGAAATACCTTGTTGTCCAGAGATAAGTCTTTCAACTCCTTTAATTAGTTTGTGCCTATGTCCATAAGCGTTGATTCCAATCTCCTTCAGCTCCTTGTGCCCCATCTCAACTAATACATCCAAAGTGATCTGACAAAAGAGGATGAAATTGTTTAGAAGACTTATATTTGGTGGACATTCATATACCGGTGTTCTATTAATGTATTAGATTTATACATTTACTTCAGCTTTTGTGAACAGCTTAGAAATGAAACCACTTATTAAATTGAACCTGAAAAGTTACAGCTAATTAAATTTCAGATACGAACTACCAAAAATATCTCAATGAATATAACTATAGTCATTTAAATATAACTATTTTAAATATAAATATAGTTGTTTTCATTTAGCCTAAGAACCTGAGCTGACTTAAACTGCAAAACAAAAATGCACTCTACAACCCATCACTCTACAACCAACCCATTTATACAATGCCTTTACTGCTTCCTCCAGACTCTGGACTACGCTAACTGGTACTTCTGCCTCAGGGTTCAAACTATTCCTTTTCCTTCAAATATATTATTCCCACTTTATGAAACTGAAGACATTCAGAAATCCTGTTTTATTAATGTATCTTCGATGAAGCTTTCCCTGAATAGTCCAGAGAGCAGTAACTTTTCTTTGAATTTCTAAAATCTATGCCAAAACTTATTTCTTCATACACTGTTAGAGTTCCATTAAGTAGATCAAAAATTCCTTAGGGATTTAAGTCTATAACTACCATATTTTCCGTACCAAAAAAAAATCAGTAAATATATCCTGACAGTGTACTTTAAAGTAGGACTGTTCTAGAAAAGCCCAGATATATACCCAGCATTCCTATTACCTTCCCATAGTGGCTAGTGAAATGTCAGACTTAGAGTACATAGTGACTGACACAACTGAACTGACCAGAGCTCAAAGATAACCTACTCTGGGGCTAAATAAGTGATGCTTTCTATTAGAGAAAACTACTTTACTATTACTACACGAGAGTCCATTATTCCATGTATTTTTAAATTTCTTCTTCGATTTCTTGTTGACCCATTCATTGTTTAATAGCAAGCTGTACAACCTCCATGTATTTATGGTCTTTCCAAACTTTTTTCTGTGGTTGACTTCAAATTTCATAGCACTGTGGTCAGAAAATACACATGGGGGGCACCTGGGTGGCTCAGTGGGTTAAAGCCTCTGCCTTCGGCTCAGGTCATGATCCCAGGGGCCTGGGATCGAGCCCTGCTTCGGGCTCTCTGCTTAGCGGGGAGCCTGCTTCCTCCTCTCTCTCTCTCTCTGTCTGCCTCTCTGCCTACTTGTGATCTGTCAAATAAATAAATGAAATCTTAAAAAAAAAAAAAAAGAAAAAGAAAATACCCATGGTATGATCTCAATCTTTTTGTATTTGTTGAGGTCTGATCTGTGATTTAATATGTGATCTATTCTGGAGAATGTCTCATATGCACTTAAAAACAAAGTGTACTTTAATGTGTTTCCATGTATTTTTTTTTAAATTCCATCAGAATCTATCTTTTTGTGCTAATAAACTAAACAGAAATTCCAAGATAGCCAAATTAGAAGACTGACTGATTTCCAGTCTCTTAAAAAACCATTCTCCTCTTCCTACAAACAGGTTGAATGGTCCAAGGCATTTCAAGTATGTCCTAATTTTTCCTTGAGGTCTTATAGAAAATCAAACCAAGCAAAACAATTCATCTACTCACCTGTTCTCTCTCAAATATATCCATCAGGTGCTCAAGTCCAAGATTTCTTACAAACTGAGTTATGCTAAAATCTACTGCTGGAACTGGAAAATAAAAAATCCAGAACAAATGAACAAAGTAATGTATATCAACATTGTAACATCAGAGTTTTGTGGTATTACTATTCATGTGAAAAATGTAAAGATGAAGGAAAATATTCATTGGCATTTGGGATATAATACTGAGTATCTGAACACAGCATTAAAAATTGCAAAAAGAGAAAGTAAAAAATTTCAACATCATTAGAAGAAACAACCAGTGGGGCACACACAGATTAAAAAAACCATCTTTTCATAAAAAAAAATTATTTTTAACTGTATCTTTAAAGTAAGTTTCCATACTGAAGCTAATATGTCAATTTTATTTACACTAAAAAAAAAATTCCTTATCTTTGAGAATGTAAGCAACTTCACAAAAAAGTTTATGCAAACAATTTCCACAATGTTGCATAAGGTGAGAGGAGGTAAAAGGTAAAGAGAACAGTTTTATAGACTAAGTATGTGAGTCTTTTTCTTTCTCTTAAAAAAGATGATCTTCACAATTGGGTAGTTTGACATGGAGCAAAGTTATTTCATAACTGTAATAATACACTGGAAGAGGTATATCAAGGCATACTGATATGCCTTCTAAACCTTTCAAAAAGCGTATTTACATCTAAAGAATAGGTCAGCAGCATAAGACTCATTAAGCCTCAACTCCGAGGGAGAAGTATCATTAGGAATTCTACTAACATTTAAAGAAAACAAGAAAAGACTAAAACGTAAAGCTTATGTTAATTAATCTGACACTAACAGTTGTATTTAAGTTTGAAAAATGACTTGTTAGCATTCTAGACGACAAACATGTGGCTACATTACAAGATAGAAAGTCATTTTTACAGAATGTCTCACCCTCCTTTTTCTCCAAACTAGAGGCACCCTCTGTTCCACTTGAACTAACTACTGAAGACAGCTCAGAAAAACTCCCAGATAAGTTGTCAAGACTGCTGGCTGCAGAAAGACTTGATGGGCTGGATGGACCTGAAGACAGAGAATCTCCGGTAGCTCCTGAGCTTCTCACGCCATTGAGCACTTGAGGTTTGTAACATGAAGGCAGAGCAGAAGGGGGCATGGCTGCGGTCAGGAGAGCGCTAACATCATCTGCCTAGGGTGTGTGTTAGAGATTAAATCTGTGATAAGTAAGTTTTAAAATTCTCCTACACCAATAGAATACATTTAAAAATATGACAAATACTCAGCAGATGTGCAAGAGAATTGCTATTACATAAAACAATTAAAAGTAAAACAAGTGATATCACCAAACTCTTATTAAATATAAAACAATTCAGAACATCTGTTTCAAGACACAGAAAATTAAAAAGAAACTGCTACAGTGGCAGAGCATTAAAAAAATCTAACTTTGATACTATGATTTCCTGAAAAACACCAAAATGAGTTACAGTAGTATCAATTTTATTTATTTATTTTAAAGATTTTATTTATTTGAGACAGAGAAAGAGAGAGAGAGAATGAGCAGGGATGGGGGCAGAGGGAGAAGCAGATTCCCTGTTGAGCAGGGAGCCCGATGCAGGGCTTGATCCCAGGACCCCAGGATCACAACCTGAACCAAAGGCAAACACTTAGACTGAGCCACTGAGGCACCCTCAAACATCTTACATGTTTTATGTAATTAAGTAATCTTAAGTAACCTCTACATCCCACGTGGAGCCCAAACTCAGAAGCCAAGATCAAGAGTAGTATGCTCTTCTGAGCCAGCAGGTGTCCCTTAACCAGACATATTTTGCCCCCATTTATAGATGACATGACTGACGCTTAGAGATCACACAAGGTGAAAGCTGTACAACTTTAAGTGGTAGAGCTGGAATTCTATGGCAGGTCCATTTGACTCTGAAGTCCACATCTGTCCTCTAGAGCACTTTGTTTCACATCACTTATGTCTGGTGGACTAACAAATGGATGGAATGAACTAGAAAAGTGCACTCTCACGGTAGTTTGGAACTAGAAAGACATTTTCCTGAAGAAATACTGCAAACACTGTTGGGCGGTTAGCCTGCTGAGAAAAATCTATTTAAGTCCCAATGCAGTGGAACTAAATCAGCTTCTCAGGGCAACTTGTAACAGTGGAATCTCTCTCAGTAGAAAGCAATCTGTAGGGAAGACTGCCCTTCCATCTCAACTAGAATTTCTTCTCCCTTTCCCTCCATGGCCCTGGTCAATTTCCTCGGTGGTCGAGGCAAGAGAGGCACCTGTGTCACAGTGGCCAAAGCAGAGGTCGAGGCTACAATGGAAATACCTATATGAGTTCCCTTGGGAGATGGAAGGAAAAAACCAAAACCAAACTAAATGAACAAAAACTTCATAGAAAATTGGGGGAATAAGCTTGTTTCATGAACACTACTGGTGAGGTAAGCAATAGAACTTTGGGAAGAGGCCATGTGGGAGGGAAGGGATCCCTACTAGAAGCTTTGTGGCTACACCCTGAGGGCAATGTCTCTGGCTGGGAAAGTTCATCAAGACCTCTACGTCCTATATGACTCTGCACAGTATGCACCGTCAACAGTCTTTACTGAGGGCCTGCACCTATTTTGTTTCCCAACAACTAACTTAAGCAGCTATACCATGTACTTTTTTCCTAAAGATTTTATTTTTAAGTAATCTCTATCCCCCAAATGGGGCCTTTTTTCCTATTTTCAAAAGCACTTGGGATACAACAACTGATTGATAATCCTATTATTTACATATTATATTTCATATTATATTTTAACACTAAAGAAGTCCTAAGTTTAAACTGGGCTAAAAAAATAGATTTAGCCACATTCACCAGGAAGACTTTTTTTTTTTTTTTTAAGATTTTATTTATTGATTTGACAGAGAGAGATCACAAGTAGACAGAGAGGCAGGCAGAGAGAGAGAGAGGGAAGCAGGCTCCCTGCTGAGCAGAGAGCCCGATGCGGGACTCGATCCCAGGACCCTGAGATCATGACCTGAGCCGAAGGCAGCGGCTTAACCCACTGAGCCACCCAGGCACCCGACTTTTTTTTTTTTTTAAGATTTTATTTATTTATCTGACAGAGAGAAAGATCACAAGTAGGCAGAGAGGCAGGCAGAGAGAGAGGGGAGAAGCAGGCTCCCTGCTGAGCAGACAGCCTGATGCAGGGCTTGATCCCAGGACCCTGGGATCACGACCTGAGCCGAAGGCAGAGGCTTAAACCACTGAGCCACCCAGGCACCCCAAGGAAGACATTTTATACATACCAAGTGAACTTTAAAAAATCAGAAAAGCACTGAGATTTTTCAAAAGTCCATCACTTACTGAAACTAAATCTAAAGGCGTTTGTCCTTCCTGATTTTTAAGAGTAGGGTCAGCTCCATGGGCCAACAATAAAGCACAAAGCTGTGTTCGTCCCTTTTGTGCTGCTTCATGCAAAGGTGTGAAAGCCCATTTGTCCGTGGCATTGACACATGCGTTATACTTTATTAGTAAAGCTGCTACATCTACATGCTGTAAAAGAAAATACTCCTGTTACAGTCTAAATTATTATCACATTTTAGTTCCTAAAAAGAAACTAGCTATATACCTATTTTCCGTATTTTCAAACCTACTCTCTGGAAAGGAGAAGAAAAATTGTGTTTCTCCCCAACATCATAATTTATGGATAGTTGATTAAAAATTACAGTAGGTGTTTTAATAAACGTGAGAAATCAGAAAATATTTAAGAATTCTACATAGGATGGGAACTAAATAAATACAAACAACTTAATTTCTCATTTATTCAAGTGTTATAACTGCTGAACATCAATTTATAAACCAGCAACCTTTCTCAGTTATTCCAACTATACTACTGAAGATGGGCAATACTGATTAGAACATTCAGGGCTGTAATGAACTCAAGAACAATGCATCTGAATCTCTACAGACTCCTAGGAGTGCTAGTGGTTTCCTGGCACCAACAAATAAACAAAACCATCAACATCTCAGTGAAAATAGGAGGTGCTAAAGAAGGTAATACAATGAATGATAAACATGCTGCATGTCACACAACTCGCTTACAACAGATTCAGAATTGAGACTTGGACATTATTTAATCTCTTTAGTCCTCATATTTACTCCTCTATAAAATGAGAAAATCAAACTAAATGCCCTTTGAACTGCAATACTGATTTCCACTTAAAAAATTTCAGAGATTTTAAAAGGTAATGTGAAAGGACTTACCCCGTAAGATGCTGCATTATGTAAAGGAATAAGTCCTCCTTTGTCCTGGGCATTCACATCAGCTCCATGTTGCAACAAATACTCTGCAACCTCTAAATTATTGTAACCAGCTAATTTAGAAAAGAAGTAAAATTACTTTCACTTGTTATTATAGACAATGACATCTATATATCTGTATAAAAAACACATATATTCTTTAAAAAAAGAGAGAGAGATTTTATAGAAATCTGATTATTCCCCAATAGAGTCTATTAAAAATTTAGCTTATGGAAAAAACTGTCCACTGGTCTCAAGTTGGAAGCTTTCAGTGATGCCACTCACTCATTTCAGAAACTCTCAAAAGTTAAAACTGATTGATTTGCTTGTATCTTTCCTTCTAAAGTCTTCTACCAAAGTCCCTGTCTTTATTGTTGTTATATGCAACTTCCTAAACTCAGGTACGTTGTCTCAAGGACTACAAGCAAAAGGCACTCAAGTATATAAAAACCAAGTTAGGAACACAAGTGGCCGGCAGAGTAGGAGGCAGCACACCAGCATGGGTCTCAGGACCCCATTTTCCCAGGACACAAAGACATGCTTTTTTGTAGAGAGAGATCTTAGGGATATACATCTCTGCAAGTATGGCAGCAAAATCTAATATTGTTAAAGCCATGAAATAAAACTTGGTATACTATAAATATGCCATAATCTCTTAGCTGTCATCTTGGGAATTGTCAGCTATCTTAGTACAGTCTTATGAAAAAGTATATTTTATCTGACGCATAATCACAGATTGAAAGCAAATCTAGAACTTTGTCAACATAAAACCAGCTACCACGTGAAACTTTAAAACAGTTCAAACTATTTTTCACATTTATTTTCTTGTAGTTTTTATTCTTATGCTGAAGGATTTAAAGCCAAAAAATTTAAAGATCAAGGAGGGAAAACAAAACCAAAGAACTACCATAAGCTAAGTATTACAATGAATCCCAAAGTCCTTCCAGGTCTCAAGGTATAATCTGCACAAATGGGCAGAAATGTTTTGTACATACAACCTATTTACCACTTACAAAGACAACATGGATTTGTACATATATATTTTTCAAGATTTTTACTTATTTGAGAGGAAGAGAGAGCAGGACAGAGAGGAAGCAGGGAAGGAGCAGAGGAGAGGGAGAAGGAGAAAGGGGCTCCATGTTGCATGGAGTCTAACATGGGGCTCGATCCCAGGACCCTGGGCTGAAGACAAACGCTTAACCAATTGAGCCACCCAGGCACCCGACAACATGGGTTTAAATAGTAATTATTAAATGTTCTAGAGAAGCTACCATAAAGATACAGAAAAGCTACTGTAAATAAATATACACAGCATAATTCAAATATACACAGGTCATATCCTGTCTGCATAGATGAGAAACTCCTGACTGCCAGTGGAAGTAAAAGCCTTTTTTTACCATGTTAATATGTGGTTACCACTTTCAAAATTCTCTAAAAGACATATAGAGTAATTCTTTTCCTTGGACAGTGGGTGAAAATTCAAAAATAAGTCACACATAACCAAAATTATCTTTTAAATACTAGGAACATACTCAGTTATTCACACTATAAGACTAAAATAAACAGAGAGAAAAAAAGAAAAGGGTAGACTTCCATTTCCCATATTGCACAAAGCGGCAGAAACACCTGTATCGCTTTTTTCTCTATTTACTTTTTTCTTTTTAAACTATATGTATTTAAACTTGTATAAGTCAAATTATGTCTATAATGTAACACCACCGAAGTATTAGCTGTAAGCTCAGTGATTTTAATGGCCCATTCCCTAGCATTTTCAATGCAGCTAAAGAAACTGAAACTGAAATGCTGTGCATTTGCACTGGAAAAAAAAAAAGTGCACTGTGTCAATTTCATGAGTGAAACTTATAAAAATGTTATGTACTCACTGTTTCCCAAATTCTTGTACTGGCTGTCATTATTTTAGCATGTGACTTTGTATTAGGAGATAAAATCTTTAAAGAGGTAATAAAGTTAAAATGAGGCTGTTAGTGAAAGTCCTAATCGCATCTGACTGGTGTCCTTATAAAAGATTAGGACAAACAGTGAGAGACACCAGACACGTGCATACAACTCTGACAAAAGGCCAAGTCACGATACAGTTAGAAGGTGGCCATCTGCAGGCCGAGAAGAGAGGCATCAGGAGAAACCAATGCTGCCAATGCCTTGATCTCCACAACTGGGAGAAAAGAATCTTCTGTTAAGTCACCCGGTCTGTGGTACCTTGTTACAGCAGACCTAATGAATTAATATAACAACTCTGGCAATAGGTTTATGTGACCTTTGAAAGCCTTAAGATTTTTTTTTCTGCTTGTGCTTAATGGCTGTCATCAGAAGAATGGAAAGCTTTAACTTCCCATGAGGAAGGCTCGCCCAAGATGCTGATTTTTCAAGTTTCTATAGCCAAAACTCACTCAAGGAAAAAGGATTTAAAACTACGGTGACTGGAATAGAGATTCCAAAGCACTACGGTGACTGGCAGATTCTCCTTCCATTGTTCTCACTGCGGTAGTGCACCAGGACTAAAGTGAACACGGAACATAGTTGGCCTGTACGAACACAGGTGTAATGGTAGCATTAGCAAATATCTGAACTGCATCTTCTCAGTTTACTTTCAGGAAATATTTTACTCTGGTAAAATGAACCTCAGACGTTGAGCTTAAACCTGTGAAACTTCGATCACTTACCTGCTAAATGTAAAGGGGTTGAGTGTCGGCCTTGGGTATCACGGCAGTTTACATTATCAGGAGAAGACAACTTCTTTACTCTGGCTAAACAACCCTTCTTGGCAGCATCTAACAAAGCTGCATCTCCCCTAAGGAGATCTTGGATATCCGTATCTCCATCTTTAACAAGATCCAAAGGGGTATTTCCATCCCTGTTTTTCTTGGTAGGGTCTGCACCATGCTGAGCGTGTGAAAAACAAAGAGGAACTGGCTTAAGATTGCCCTTAGTCTATGAGAAAATAGTTAATGGAACTACAGCAAAAAACCCTATTTTATACTGGGAGACTCTACCTTAAAGGTTAACATGTTTGTTATATTTAATATAGTACACAGAAAATTATAATAAAAAGAATACAGAGGCAGTTAAACATTATTGGGCTTTTATAATGCAACTTATTTATTATCATTATTATTCTTTTATCTTAAAGTAGGCTCCATTCCCAGTGTGGGCCTTGAACTCATGACCCCGAGATCAAGCACTGCATGTTCTACCCACTGAGCCAGCCAGGAGCCCCTACAATGCAATTCAGTAAAAATTTAAACTACATTCAAAATAAGGCAGAATTTCATGAACAACTTATTTTCATAAACCCTGAAATAAAATATAAATTTAATGTATTTCTTTTTTTAAAAAAATTTAATGTATTTCTTATTAAGAAAGCACTATGCCTAATGCTGGCTTGAACTCATGACCCCAAGATCAAGAGTTGCATGAGCTATTGACTAAGCGAGCTAAGCACCCTAACTTTTGTTTTTACTGTAAAATATCTACATGGATACCTGTATTAAACCAGTACTATCAATTTTATCGGTGCCAAATTAAATCTGGCTTATAAATTACATAATCTATCAAATATTTTGAGGTTAAAGAAGTATATAGGAAAAATTGGGATAATAATCAGGTAACTGTTACTTGATGATAGCTGGCTTTATACAGTTATAAATCTATGTGTGGTAAACATCCCCACAGAGTAAAATACAGTGTTCATGGCATTTATCCTGAAATCTAGATTGAGAATTATATAGCTTTGCTTCATACCCCTTTACCAGTTTAAGTTTATATTGAAAGTTATTAGAAATGTAATAAACATCTAGTAATAAATCAGGTCCACAGTAAGTACATAAATATACCTGGAGCAGGAGTTTGCAAATTTCGTATTTTCCTTTTGCTGCAGCTTCATGTAAAGGTGTAAATTTCCATAAGTCAGCTACATTAACTACTGCTCCATGCTTAACAAGAAGTTCTGCAACTTCATAATGTCCGTAAGAACATGCATTGTGCAAAGGTACAAGTCCTCTGAAATGAAAAATTACATAAGCAATGCAACACAAAGATATGTTTAATTTAGATAATTGCATATAGCTGATAAATTTCTTCAACTGCGTAAGGGATCACACTGCTTGTATTTTATAGAGCCTAAATTTACTGAAACAGAAATGGAATTATTTTTGGAGGGTGTGGGGAGGAAATTTTAAAAATATAAACATTTTTCTTTTTTTCTTTTTGGTGGGAGCAATAGTAAAGTGATAGTACAAAGCTCCCGAAGAAGGAGGGGACCTGAGAGGGCTGCCTGAAAAATATTTTAAATTGTAGAGAACATAACAAACTCCTATAGACTCGATCTAGAATTGAGGTGTGTGCGTATATTTTAAAGATTTTATTTATTTATTTAGAGAGCAAGCACATACGGAAGCCAGAGGGGTGGTGGGGTAGGGGCTTAGAGAGGGAGGTTGTAGGGAGAGAGAAAAATCTCAAGCAGACTCTGAGTAGAGCTTGATTCCCTGACCCCCAGATCATGACCTGAGCTGAAACCAAGAGTCAGCTGCTTAACCAACTAAGCCACCCAGGGACCCCAAGAATTGTCTATCTTTAAAGAAAAATAATTTTAAGATAAACTGGAAGGATTCAAATCTCCTCAGTGCAAACTGAAAAAATTTATTATATTGAAAATCAATCACACTCATCTCCTTAGTCATTATAAGATTATAAGGCATGATGCAAATAAGTCTATATAAAGGCTAATCATCATAAAATGTTGACTGAAACCAAGAAGCTACATTTAAGCCAGTGTTAGGTAACAGACCTGCCCGAAAACAAAAGAGCCACAACTACTGTAAAATTATTAAAAAAAAAGTTTTCCCAGATTTTCCCAAGAAGGTCAGATGAAGGAAAAGGGGCCATGGCAGTCGCTGGTACTTGCCCTTTGTCTTTGGCATGCACGTCGGCTCCGTGCTGCAGCAGGTACTCCACCACAGAAACCCTGTTATAGCCAGCTGCGAAGTGCAGTGGCGTAGACTGGCGCCCTTCAATGTCTCTGCAGTTGACACTCTGAACAGTACACAGTTTCTGCAGGATGGAACACAGTATACACGTGACACTATATATTCTGAGAGGTTTTCATTCATTTAATAGAAATTTCAAACATCTGACTGAATTTCTTGTCTCATTAAATCAGTATTCTCAGAAACGACTTATTCTTAGTTCACCCTGTCGTTTATTGGGAATCCCTGTGGTCCTCTTACCTATGTATCATCTTTTGCTAAAGCTAGTGGGTAAATTTTACCATTATTACTACTACTATTTACATAAAGGTAATCTAGAGCACTGATTATTGGCAATCCTAACTTCCATTTTGTGACAAATACAAGTAGAGGTAAGCTGGATCCTGGGGTTTGTTAAGAATGCAGAATCTCAGACCCCCATCTACTGAGTCAGAATCTGCATTTTAACAAGGTTCCTAGATGATCTGTAAGCACCTTAAAGTTTAAAAAGTTCTGCTCTACACCAGCAGTTCTCAAATTGTTCCTGTGCACTGGGTCCTGCCTCCAGATTTTCTAATTTAGTGTGTCTGGGGTGGGGCCTGAGAACTTGCATTTCTTTTCTTCTTTTTTTTTGAAAACCTGCATTTCTAACAAGTTCCTAGGTAATGCTCGTAATCAAGAACTACATTTACGATCCTTGGGAAAACTAAGAAAATAGTAAAATACTTCTTTGTGTTCTTTGGTCTAGATGAGGAAGACTGGCTGAGAAAATCTTTAAGAGTAACACTTTTATTCATGCTTGTATGAAAAGTACAAATGTTTGGGGAAGAAAAGAAACATAAATAATAAATCATGGTGCTCAATAAAAGTTTAAGGACTATCCATATTAGTAAGACTTTTTACTATTCTACCATACCCTATCCCTTAGGGATACCCTAAGCCTAATAAATCAATGGAGGAAGATATCTGTGGGTTTAACCTCAAGGGTTTTAATTACTGGACTGATAAAGCTTTCTTATGTTTCCCAAACAAGAGGCTGTTAGGCATATGGACTCAGGGTCCCATTTCAGACAGTATTTTATGGCTTTGAAGAAGGGCTCTAGGTAGGAATGAGGTTTTTTTTTTTAAGATTTTATTTGAGAGAAAGAATGAGAGCGAGCGCGTGCGCACATGAAAGGGGGTAGGGTCAGAAGGAGCAGCAGACTCCCTGCTGAGCAGGGAGGCCAATCTGGGACTCCATCTGATCACCAAACTCTGGGATCATGACCTGAGCTGAAGGCAGTCTCTTAACCTACTGAGCTACCCAGGCACCCTAGGAATGAATATTTTTCATACATGTGCCAAGTGCTACTAGGTTCGGTAGTTTTTTTTTTTTTTTTTTAAAGATTTTATTTATTTATTTGACAGACAGAGATCACAAGTAGGCATAGAGAGAGAGTGGAGGAAGCAGGCTTCCCGCTGAGCAGAGAGCCCGATGTGGGGCTCAATCCCAGGACCCTGAAATCATGACCTGAGCTGAAGGCAGAGGATTTAACCACTGAGCCACCCAGGTGCCCCTAGGTTCGGTAGTTTTCACTACTCACTTTACTCCCCACTTCTCAATTTAGTTCTGTGTACTCAGAGACAAGTTTTCTAATACTTAGTAAGAAGTATCTAGCCTGATGGATCTCCACTAAACAACACATAATTAATTAAGTGTTCATTGGGCAATACGCAGATGTTATTGTCCCAGTAATTCACACCAAGCCTCCTGTCTATAGATAGGTAACAGCTACAAAGGTTGTGGAGATAAACTACTATCAAGTGAAATTTTTTTTTTAAGATTTTATTTTTGGGCAATCACACCCAAGGTGGGGCTTGAAACCACAACCCTGAAATCAAGAGTCACCTGCCCCACCAACTGAGCCAGCCAGGTGCCCCACCACCAAGTGATTTTAAAAGTAGGGTAAGGGAAGACGGCCAGATACTTACTATAGAGAATGAAGAGAGAAAGGATAGGCTTCTTCAATCCATTACTGGGCATTATTTTGTTCTGTAAGTCCCAATTCCTGCCCCCAGCTCTTCTCTTTATCTATTTCTTCCTCTAGACTCCTTTTATCTTTCTTTTTTTTTTTTTAAAGATTCTATTTATTTATTTGACAGACAGAGATCACAAGTAGGCAGAGAGAGAGAGGAAGAGAAGCAGGCTCCCTGCTGAGCAGAGAACCTGATGTGGGCTCGACATGACCTGAGCCGAAGGCAAAGGCTTTAACCCACTGAGCCACACAGGCGCCCCTGGACTCCTTTTATCTTTATGTAAACAAAGTCTAGCCAATATTATATATACTGAATATAGCTTTATGCTCTTTAACATATGTAAGCACATGAACATTTGAAAATTTTACCCCCTCAACAAAAAAATCAGCTAGTTGACCTTTAACTAATTGCCTTTAATTTTTAAATCAATTTTCCAGAAAAAAAAAAATCAACTCACTTCTTTTAACTTAAGTGACTTGTTTTTCCACAAGTCAGTAATACTTTGTAATAGAAACCAAATTCTCCTTCCAATATCTTATTAACCTTCCACTTAAGGGAATGAAAATGTAAATATGAAACATGTCAAACAATAAGATTCCATTATAATGGGTTTTTTTGAAAAATGAAATTATTAAAAAATAAAATCTTAAATTACTTGGAGATGACTGTACTATCTACAGAGATAAAGCAGAAGAGATCACACTGACTTTTAAATCAACTTCCTGAAATCTCTTTATTTAAAAGGACAGTGATGTGTTTCCTCAAAGCTCAAGTTCAGATGAAACCAACTTATCTCGTTCTCTGAAAATCTAAAATCGACTTTATGTCGTTTGTCTGTTCAGGACTGAGGACACCAAATAAAAATACACTGAAACTGCTTCATGTAGCTACTTCCGTCACAAATTTATAAATTTAGATTTTTATAAAACTTATTGCATGTCACTGTTCCCTTAAATAGGATGAGCACTGTTTTTGAAAAAGTCTAGGAGCAAGGGGGGCAGGGCTGGGGGAATATAACAAAGATTTTTTTCTCTCTGATAGCTTTGGGAATTAAAAATAACATTAGAATAAAGTGGAAAAAAACCCAAAACCCCAGTGCATTACTCAAGAATTATTTCATTCATAAAACATGTTAATTTATCTATATTAGTTTAATGGAAAAGTAGTCTTGCTCTTTCAAAATGTAAGGCTTCTGAGTTATTTACTGGGATATACAACTTCTGTAGGTAACAGAAATATCTGGTACAGGCATTCAGACACTACATATGACTCTATGGTAAAAAGTAAAGGAAAATCTGAGGAAGGGTTATTCTATGGAGGACAACCATGGGAGATGGGCCATGTAAGAGCTGAAGTTGGCTAGATGAACTGATGATTATTAGGAGACACTGGCTCTGAAAAATGGCAACACAGTGGTAGAGAGGGCAAAGAAATGAAACCAGAAGAAATACACTGACACAGTGACACACTGTTTAGTAGTTCTTGGTCCCTTTCCTATTTTATGTGTCATATGTAAATAAATGACAATAATTTGATTCTTATTCTTTTAAAGGGACAAAGAGGTTCTTTAAATGAAATTTATTTCCATAAACATGCACTTTATTTAAATCTGTGATTGTCAGGTATTTACTGAGATGCATGTGAAAAGTTTCTTTGCTAACGAAGATTCTCACTTGTGGAGAACTAGAGTATCATTATTAACCTTTTAAAACAAGGCACATATAAATAACTAGGCTCTTCATTACAACAATACAGATTCATTAAACACTGCAAATAAAAATCCAAAGTTAACAAAAACGCAAGATCATATCTTACTTTTACAGTTTCTACATCGCCAGCCTTTGCAGCTTCCAGCAATTGTCTGTCTGCTTCTGAATTACCTAATGGGATGCCTTCTAAAAAGAGAGAAGGAAAGAGTGATTAAAACTCCCATAGAGAAGGCAGGACTAAGCTTTAAGAGAGGCATCTTATCTTAAAGTAAAGTTCTCTTACAGTTTGGTAGATTATATAGTAAATCTCCATGGTAGTAGAGGAAAACCAGAAAGACTTAAAAATTTTTGTGAGACAAAAAAAGGTTTTTTTTCTGGGAGGAAACATTTCATGTATATACATATAAATAAAATGTATGGAAATGTGAATAATAAATATGATTAAAATAATATAATGGAATATAAAACAGATGAAAGAAAAAAAAAAGGATCCATTACTTCTCAAATTGTCATGTTCTACAACAACCAAGGCCACTGGATGGTGGAAAAGCTTTAAATTAGGAGACCAACAGCCAGAGACCTAACCATGGTTCTGCCCTTAACTAGCTATGTGAACTGGGTCAAGGGTCCTCAGATTTTTTCAGTTCTAAAAAGAGAAAAGATGGACTAGAAGATAACTAAAGTCATTTTCAGGTCTGAAATTGTTTCACAGCTCATTTAAAATTTCACAGGAAAGGAAGAAAACATGTACCTTTGTATCTTGGAACAAAATAAACTCCAATGGATTAAAGACTTAAGGGTAAAAAAATTAAAATTTAAAAATACTAAAAGAAAATGTAAGTGAGTATTTTTATACACTTGGAACAAAAAAGCATCTCAGAGTAAGTACACTGAAGGCAGAACCAATATTGATTTGGAAGAATATGTCAGGCAATAACATAACATTAAACAAAGTTATAAGGCAAATAAAAAATGGAAAAAATATTGCAACATGTATCTTAAAAATGCAAATTAAAATAATGAGATCCTGGGTTTTTCTTTTGCATCCATTAATGGCCAAAGAGGAAATGGGGGAGCTACACTGACAGTATTTCTATACTTTATGTTTTAAAAAAAAAAAAGCATCTATTACTTCTCAAGTTCATACACATACATTCACCAAACGAAAAGATTAAGAAATCAGAATATGCGGTTCTGACAAACAGGTCTTGTCATATGCTATTAGCAGGAGTATAAAATGGTACTTAACCACCTTTCTAAAAGATGATTTAACAATTACATGTTATCCGTTAATCTGGAAATTCTACTTCGACAATTTACTCTAAGAAACTAGGTGGAGGGGGATGCTTGGGTGGCTCAGTTAAGAGTCTGCCTTCAGCTGGTTACAATCCCAGGGTCCTGGGATCAAGTCCTGTTTTGGGCTCTCTGCTCAGCGGAGAGCCTGCTTCTCCCTCTCCCTCTGCTGCTCCCCCTGCTTGTGCTCTATCAAATAAATAAATAAAATCTTAAAAAAAAAAAAAAAAAAAAAAACTAGCCGGAAAGGTAAGAAATCACACTTAGCACAAACTAGTAAATGTCCATCACAAGGCAACTGAATAGGATTAACAGTGACATCCCAAAACTGACACTGAAACAAATGTGCAGTATATGAGGAACCAAAGGGAATCATGAAAGAATATCTTGTAGTTTAGTTCAGTTTTGGCAGTTTCCAGGTTGTTTTGTCAACCTGCCTTCACCTATTCAGTGTTTTTCTCAAAAGGTAGTTTCTAGATCACAGGCATAATGACCATCAAAGATGACTGTTAAAGATACAAGTGGCTTGATCTGTTATATTTCTTCTCATTTGAACTTTCAGGTGTCAAAGTCACTTTAAAATTAGACCAGATTTCTAGGGTGAAATGTATAACCTATGCAAAATGTACAGATACTTGATCTAAAATATTTAAAAATAAATATGCACGTATTCAATAGTTAAATGTTTTAATAAGTCAAATAGTGGATTACCTTGTACAAAAACTCTACATGCCTCATTAATACAAAGGACCTAAAGAAACCGTGAAGAGGCAGGGCCAGTCTTTATCGAGTATTACCTATCATTATGGATGCTTAACTCAGATACCTACCTTTTTACGTTTTCCTGTCTTAAAAAAAAAATAGCAACTATTACATCTTAAACACTTTCTAGATACAAACTTAAGAGCCAGCTATTAAGAGAAATTGAGCAGATAATGCTTCTGGAACAAAATCACAGTAAGACTTAATGACATTTGGAACACTGAGTATAATGAATTAAGAATAGCCAAATACTCCACATTTTCTTTTTATTACCAACTTCTACATAGTATGTGACGAAATTTATTTTTATTTTTGAAGTTTTATGTATTTAAGCATCTCTACACCCAAAGTGGGGCTCAAACGCACAACCCTGAAATCAAGAGTTGCATGCTCTTCTGGCTGAGCAGGCCAGGCACCCCTGTGTGAAAAAACTGAAAGGTTAATTCTGAAAAGCTGACTTCATGAAAGCATTGACTACCTTGAAGAAGCTGCTGCACGTTTTCATTTCCCATCTGTAAGGCAGTAAAGCCCTGAAGGGATATGATGCTGGGATCGCACCCATAGCTCAGGAGTAGGCGGCAGGTTTGCAGATGACCACAGTGTGCAGCTCTGTGCAGAGAAGTCTGACCGAGGTTATCCAGAGCATTCACCTTTATAATGCAGAAAAAGCTAAAATTAGCCTGTAGCCTCAAAATGTAAAACCATCTAATCATGTATTTAATGCTTGCTACTCATTTAAAAATCCCAATTATTTTCTCATGAAGTCTATTTTCCAGTGCCAAAACAAGTGTTTTTGCTTCAATCTAGAACATAAATTCACAAGCTCATGAAAGCTGGTATCAGAAGAGATCCTTTTTTGAGTTAAAAGCAGGAAATGCTGAGTAACAGTTGTGTTTGGCATTACACGTAAGGAAGTTTAATCCATGTTTTTATGGATCTCTAAGGTCCAGAAATGTGGAGACTAACCCCAAGACAGGCAACAGTAACAAAGCCGGAGACCAAATTAGCATTAAAACATTTATTCCTACTGGCTTAATCTTCGACTTTTATCATGTAAAATATAATCCGTACAGATAAATACATCATGGTCTATACACACCACAAAATACTTTTGAGCAATAAAAAGGAACAAATGATTGGTACATGGACGAATTCCCAAAATATACAGAGGAGAAAGCCTTACAAAAGAGTGTGCATTGTACAGTTTCATAGACATGAAGGCCTAGAACAGGCAAATTAATCTACATAGGAAATAAATGAAAGGGCCGTTGCCTCTAGGGGTGGCGATTGCCTTGGATGGGGTCCTTCTGTAACTTCTATACGTTGGTGAGTTTTGGTAACACACGTGTATACATTAGGCAAACTTCAGGACATGTACATTTAAGATTTGTGCATTTCACTGCATGTAAGTTCTGCACTCCCAAAAAACCCGTTAATAAATTCTGACCTCTAGATGATGCTTACATGGAAATATTTAGGGAGAAGTGTATAGCAATTTGCAAATACTTTGAAATGTGTACCATGTATGTATACATTTATGGGTTGATAAAGGAGAAACTGATGGGTGTGTAAGAAAATACAGTAAAAAGAAGGGTCCCTGGGTAGCTCAGTTGGCTAAGCGACTGCCTTCAGCTCAGGTCATGATCTGGGAGTCCTGGGATCAAGCCCCACATTAGGCTCTCAGCTCCATGGAAAGTCTGTTTCTCCCTCTGACCTCCCCTCTCATGCTCTCTCACCGTCTGTCTTTTTCTCTCTCTCAAATAAATAAATAAAATCTTAAAAAAAAAATAGTAAAATGTTAACTCCCCCATCTCATCTTCACCTGCACCCTTCCCCACCAGGTAAATAATTTTTTAAAACATAAGTGAAAAATCAAGTTCCTCAGTAATCAACCCTGTGTCCACCAGTGTAATCTGAGACATAGTCCAATTCATATTCATGGAACTGGAGAATATTTGAACAGGAATGTAGTAAGACTTTCTCAGAGAAACCAAAACTGGATTATAAATTGCTTATCTCCATGCTTATGGAACTTGAAAACTGATTTAAAATGATGAGAACAATTAATCTACTTATTCACATACCAAAACTCACTGAAATGTGAAATACATCCATTTTAAAACTTTATTTGGGTACCATTTTCTGTTGAGATCAGGGTGACAAACTTCTTCTGGTTTGCCTGGGACTTTCCTGGTTTTAGTACTAATAGTTCTGTGTTTCTGGAAGTCCCTCTGTTCCTGGACAAACCTGGATGGTTGGCCCCACTATAGTTAGGACTATCTGAGGGAGTTTCACGACTCACATTTAATATGTATTCAGATATTCTAGTAATGTACCACATGTATGAGAAAAGCAATCAATGAAAAGTTATAGAACAGACAGACAAGATAGGCCAAGCAGTCGAGCAGAATAAACTTTATTTTATTCAATAATTTACAATAGGAAAGATTGAGATTACACATTATCAAGAAATCCCCCCGTATCAAAAAGAAATTAGGACACTGAGAGGAAACACAGAAAAAGCTGTAGAAAGAATTCTAAGTGCTTCCTTGAGTGGCATACCAAGGAAGGACAGATCAGAAAACTATTCTGCAAAGCACATTTAAGGAAGAGCCTTGGTGTCACCCATGGGCTAAGGGTCTTACTCCTTTCTTTTCCCTTCATTCACAGCAGCTCCATTCTTTGTTACGTAATGAATTTCTACTAAAGATTTCGTTTGGAAAAGGCAAGGGTTCGTGGTTAAAAACCGTGAGAACTGTTGAATTTGGTGACTGTCATGTCTTCCAATGTGGGATGCCATGTGTATTTTTTACTGAGTGGTATTTTTCAAAGTTCCTGGGCAAGAAATGATGATTTCTAGCCTGATGAAAACACAATTCGGGGCTGCTGGGTGGCTCAGTGGGTTAAAGCTTCTGCCTTCAGCTCAGGTCAGGATCCCAAGGTCCTGGGATCAAGCCCCGCATCGGGCTCTCTGCCCCGCAGGGAGCCTGCTTCCCTTCCTCGCTCTCTGCCTGCCTCTCTGCCTACTTGTGATCTCTGTCTGTCAAATAAATAAATAAAATCTTAGGAAAAAAAAACAAAACATAATTATTCCAAGAATAAAATGCTTTGTACAAATGCCAACTAAAGAACACTGACTTCACAGTATGGGGAACTGTTTTCAGTCAAATTATTTAAATAATTTATTTCCTTCTGTTCCAAGTCCTTTGGTTTAGTCATAGAAACAACATAGTAAGAAAGACTGTGGCCGAGGTAAACAACAAGAGTTACCACAGTAGCCAAGGAACAGAAGATATGAGTGAGAGAAGATTGGAGATGATTGGTCATAACCAGTGTGTCTCTAGCTGAGGATATTCTGAAGAGTATTCTGTTAGAAAAAGAACTTAAGGATAACTCGACTGGTGGGGTGTGGGTAAAAGAAATGGAGAAGGAAGGATATATAGGAAGCATGTATTTTTTTTTTTTTTTGGAGTAAACCCTTCCTTAGGCTTTCTAGCAAAAAATCAGATAAAGAAAAGTATCTGCTAGACTATTTTTAAGTAAAAGTTAAGAAGAAAAAAGTAATACTTATGAGAGAGTAAGCAGTTTAGGAAGCCAGGAATTTCATCTGCTGAACAGAAAATAACTCATTGGATTACCAAAGATTACCAAAAAGGAAGTATACCTTTGCTTCATGTTTCACCACTACTTCGACAACATCATTATGAGCTTTCTCAGATGCCACATGGAGAGGAGTCAAGAATCTTAAAAAGAAAAAGTAGAAAGTCAGCCAATCAATGTATTTTCCCAAAAAAAAAAAAAAAAAAAAAAAAGTGTCACTTTTTAATTACTAAAAGTAGACTTACTCTTTAGTCTTTTCATTGATGTTTGCTCCTTTTCTTAACAACAGTTCACATATTTGCTTTCTTTTGGGGTATGGAGATGCGGCAGCACAATGCTAGATAATTTAAATTGCAGCATTAATCAAAGACTATACATAACTAATTTTTACTTAAGAACATTTGTGTTTCTAATCAAGAACTAAGAAGTTATTTAACCTCTTTGTTTTTTTGACCCGACTTTGCTACTCAAAGACTTTCTACTGGATAGAATGTACAACAATTACCAAATTCTGGCCCAGCCTGCAAATCCTATTTATCAGATATGTTAACTAAATATTCTGATCAAGTTTTATAGTTGCCCTGTATCTTTGAAAAAGCTACTACTGATGTAATGAAAATTTAAATTAACATCATGAACACTCCTTTAAATGCTATTCCCACATAGCATGGTGTCTATGTTCTTTTTAAAAGTTTAATAAATAAAACACTCCTAAGGTTGGAGTTTCTTCACATCAAGTAGTAAGACATTCATCAGCTCTAGATGCTGCCTCGTAACAGCACAGGTCAAACAGCTGACAAGATCAGTATTTACTTCCTTCTCAACTAGCTGCTCAAACAGAAAAAGGAGCTTGGATAACCTGTTTGTCAAAATCAATGGGAGAAGATGATACACTCTAAGTTGGAGTCTGCAGCTTCTGTATCTATGATATATCAAAGAGGAAAGGAGACAGGAGGTAGGGATTTGCTAGTTATAACCTTAGAATGTATCTCATGATCATGTCCCAAATCTTTGCTCCCTAATATTGAGAATGATAATAATTTACAACAGGTGTTCAATAAATGTCTGGATGCATGAATGACTAGATCAATGTAAAAATACAAAGTTAAATCGAAAGCTTGAGAATTCATGGGATAAAAGCTCTGGATAACTGCCAAACTAAGTTGCTCTATACATCTAAATACACAGTACATATGAAACCTGTTCTTATTTTAACCTATTGTTAACTATAAAGCTTATCTGATCTTCATGACTTTGCCTCCGATTCATTCTTCGTTCTGGCTGCTGTCACCAAAATCATTCCTTTGCCCTCAATAAAACCATTTCTAACAAGTAAACATAGCTACTTCGGTATGTTGTGAGTAATCATCCCAGGACATCTATCAGGATAGCACACAGAATGGAAATGGTTTATTTCCAAGATTTCTTGATCATGTCCATTTCAAAACTGCACTTTTACTCCTCTGCCCCATCGTGGGGCAGGGCCCATGATCTCTGGAAACCTGAAGACACTGCCCCTGCACCACAACTATCCACCAATACTTAACTCCTAGTATATTTTAAGATTAATAACAAAAATAAGTTGTTTAATAGCAGAATATTTAAGGGGAGGTAATATGCAGTATTAGTTTTTCAGACCAGAAAATTTTCTTCTCAGTCTTTCTTAATTTCTCTGCACCATCTTGATAATGTTATGATTTTAAATTTGCACTAGCATTTCTTATTAGTCTGAAGCTTTGTTGTTTTTTTTTTTTTTTAACAATTTAAATTAGCAAAAAGGCTTAGTATGTTTTATAGATAGTTTTGACATAACCTTCACATAGTTCACATCCTGGCATAAGAAAGAAAATTAACCAATAACCAAGAAAATGAATTACCTACAAAATATTAGGTAACTAAGACTGTGAGTTAAATTTGCCCTGAAACACACTGGTTTATTTAGGGTCCTCTTCCCTCCCCAAAGCACATTTTGCAATTCATATAGGAGAACTGATTTTGTTCCCTTTAAACTGCTATTTGGGACACCTGCGTGGCTCAACTGGTTAATTGTTGCCTTTGGTTCAGGTCATGATCCTGGGATCCTGAGACTGAGCCCTGCATTGGGTTCCCTGCTCAGTGGGAAGCCTGCCTCTCCCCACACCCTCTACCCCTCATGCTCACCTGCTTTCTCTGTCTCATAAATAAATAAAAATCTTTCTAAAAAATTGGTGTTTCTAATGTAGTCTCTGATTACACCATTGCCTTCCCACCTTCCATCACTTTATCCCTATTAGCTCTCATTCTTTTCTCACTGCTTTTCCATAGACTGTCCAATTTTCATCTACTTTGTTACAGCTTTGTTACAGTAACATAACAGAAGTGTCATTACCTCTAATGGGGAAGTAGCCTCAAATCACACAGCAACTTTATTTACACAGTACAGAGGGGATATATAAAGACTTCAGACTAATTTTGAAAAAAATTGTAATACTGGAAGGAAAACCAAGTTGTTTTTAGATGGATGACATGATTATTTTTCATTACTTTCAGTGGGTATGAAATTCTCAATCACAAGCATTTATAATTTTTATAAGGAAATAATATGTACTATTACAATAATTAAAAAGCTACACATAACATACACCAATATATGAATAAAGTTTTTTTTCCTGGAAGGACACTCAAATGAGTAACAGTATTATCTTCTGGGGGGGGGGGTGAGGTTGTCTATTTTTCTGTACTGTTTGACCTTTTTAAAAAAATGTATGTTCAGGCATTAATTTTTTAAAAAACAGATTTTCAAAAACAATTCTATTACTAGAAGGAGGACATTATGTTACTGTGTATCATCAATAGAAGTAGGACGTTATGATTAGTTCAACATGTTTTTGGTTACTGCATCTTCAGAACTTTAATCTGAAACATTACCAATGCTGTTTCATGTGTTTGAGGATGCTTAAAATTCACCATCTCCAGAGAGAGATGTTTTTTGATTCGTGTTACGTCAGCTTCCCGTGCAGCCTGCAGCAATGAGTGGCCTTTAAACTCATCTAGATGAAAAAAAAAAAAAAGCATATAGATCTGCGTGAGAATTATCAAATTGATGGGACTTACCTAATAAAAGATACTTAGTGTTTTTTAAAGTATTTTCAAAATTATCTACCAAAATTATTCAGATAGAAGCTCTAAAGATATTCTCCAAATATAACCCCCCAGAAGAGAGACAGTGCTATACCAGTTTCCCCTTCAGTTACGACATAATTCATCCCTAAATGTATACATAGATTTAGCCCATGGCCAACTCAGGGTCTATTTTGGTCTGTAGGAATCTGGAGTACTGCAATGTATTACCAGACCAGAGAGCTCTGAGATGGTTCGTGCTCTAACATCATGGTGGTAGATGAGCCAAAAACTGAGTATTTCCAAGAGCCACCTACTACTGATGAACAAGTGAGAGAGTATTTTCTCAAGATTTCTCTTTAATTCATCAGATTTGTGAAACCACCCATTTTCCTTTATTGTTCCAGAGTTAACACAAATTTAAGTTTCCTATTTGTGTACAGTAATATTACATCTGAACTAGGTGGCTGTTTCTTAATACATTTACTTCAGTTACAGACAGAAAACCATAGAACTGCCAAATATCAAAGAATATTAGATGGTTAGGATCTGGGATCCATGTTTAAAAGACAGCAATCCTACAAACGACAAGGCAGATTAATAAGAAACTCACACCAAAGACAGGAACAAAACCCAAATTCACTCGTTTCAAAAGCATACAATCTCATTGAACTTCACTTGAAAAATCAAGTACAAATATATTTTCTTTTCATAGCATCTTAAGAGTAGAATGAGTAGAAACCTCCAGATGACTAAATATGCTAGTAAGAACAACGATACCCATGTGTAAGGAAAATTTTCCATTACTTAAAAATTTCTAAAAACAAATGAGAACAAATTTTTAGTTTGTTGCTATCTTAATATCTTAGTTGAACATTCATCATTTTATACTCACATGATAATCTTTCTTTTAACTGCGGTGTGGGAGCCAAGTCTATAGCACTTTTATTATGACAATTCAGCAGTGTTGGATCTGCACCATAACTTAGGAGAAGAGAACATACTTCAACCCTGTTTTTTGAAGCTGCCTCATGAAGAGGAGTGAATTGCCACAAGTCCATTGCATTTACACAGGCACCATGCTGAGGCGTTGTGGGAGGGGGAAGGTAAAGCATATAGTTAGTGTTAAACTTTTAAAGAGAATTCAGTATTAGTACTGTGTAATTTAACATCATGCAAGCTTAACCAGGCTATATCCTCAAAGTCCACTTTTTAAATATATTATTTCAGAAATACATTTTTTTCCCATGGAAAACCAGTAGCTGGTTGCTAGGCTTATGCATAAGGCCTTTACTTAACTCTTTTGTTGTTAAAAATAGCTAAGAATGAAGCTTTAGATTTAACTTGCATCTTTTCTAATTTCTAAGTTTTTCCCTTGTTTGAGGTATAATTTACATAGAGTAAAACAGTTCTTCAAAGTGAATAGTTTGAAGAGTTGTGACAAATATATATCTTTATCTATCTATATCTCCATGATACCATCACCCAATTCAAGATAGAGCACGCTTTCATTACCCTAGAATGTTCCCTCATGCTCCTTTTATAGGTAATCATGTCCCCATTCTGTTAGCACCATATATTAGATTTATATGCTTTTGAACTTTACAAAAATAGAATAACTCAGTATGTACTTTTGTGTCTACCTTCATTCACACACAATGTTTCTGAGATTCATTCATGTTGTTGTATCAATCTTTTTACTACTAAAAAGATTGCATTCCATTGTATCGATGGACCATAACTTACTTATCCACCATCCTCTTGATAGGCATTTGGACTATTGCTAAATTTTTTACTATTCTATTTACTATTTACCATTATTTAGTATTTTACTATTTGCTAATAAGGTGTTATGAACATTCATCCATAAGTGTCTTTATGGATACATGCTATGTCCCTAGGAATGGAATTGCTGGATGGATGATACAGTAGATACAGGTTTACTTTTATTAGAAACTGACAAATAGTCTTTATTTATTTATTTTTTTTAAAGATTTTATTTATTTATTTGACAGGGAGAGATCACAAGCAGGCAGAGAGGCAGGCAAAGAGAGGGGGGAAAGCAGGCTCTCTGCTGAGCAGAGAGCCTGATGCGGGGCTTGGTCCCAGAACTCTGAGATCATGACCTGAGCTGAAGGCAGAGGCTTAACCCAATGAGCCACCCAGGTGCCCCTAAATATGTATGTTAAACTTCGATCTACTGCTCTTCTTTGGAGCAAGAGATCAATATTCTTGGCAATACCTGAAAGCAACTCTTAAACGTTTTTCTTTTTGAGTTTTAACACCTTCAGCTCCTACACTCTTTTTTTTCATCAGATGGTTTCTAGATTTCCTTTGACCCTTGCCCTCAGCTAAATATACTTCAGCTTCAAAGCTCCATTAAAGGAATTATTGAGTGCCTAGAAAAACAGTCTCAATGCAGTCTGACTGAGAAAAGTACACTGCATCTGTTGTTACGTTTGCTTTTGACACTATACTTCTACTACTGGCATAAAAACATGTTAGCTTTTTAAGCAAGCACATCACAATTCCTACAGTGTCCAGGTCATGAAAAGCAGTTAAGAGAATGTTTGCAGGTAAATGCCAGCTTCTGATAGCCAACTGTTTAGCAAGGGCTGCCAAGTGACTTAGTGTTCCCTACACCTTCTGCCTGTATTCTGTCTCTATCTACTTGGCTAATCTACACACTCCTGAGCTTGAGTGCTCTGGTAACTGCAACTTCACCTCAGCTAACCTCTATACATATGACCTCTAGTCAGCCTGCCATTCTTATTTACGGAACATCAGGTCTTAGGAAAACATCATTGTCTGTAGGTACCAATGCAATCTGCCTCATGTTTCACTTTTACCTACAATAATATTCCAAATGTTCTGTTGAATTCAAGATTCAGTTTTATAGTAAGAAAAGCATTACTGCTCCAGATGTGTAACACTGCAGCTTATACATTTAAGAAGGCTTAGGGGCTACTCAGAGTATCTAATCGTTAAAGTTGTTTCTGTGGGGAAGTATCCTGTGATAGCACATGCCAAAATCAAGCATGGAGGCATTGGGAACAAATATCCTACCATGATGACTGCTGCTAGAATGAGGACAAGTATTAAAAGGGGCAGAATGGTGCAGAGTAAGAGATGCCTAAGGAATGTGGTCAAATATATGTATAGGGACTGGGGGACAAAAGGAAATAGCTATGGGTAACATCCTGCTATCTCCTCTGAAGAAGAATATGTATCTTCTATTTTTAACCAACAGGGAGCAAAAAAAAGTTTGTTTTCAGTCCTGGGAAGTTGCTGGTTAAACAAGAGCTTCCCAGCATCCTGGGGGAAGTACAGCTGACCAAATGAGCCTGCTGCAACCTAATATCTGAATCACTACAAACTGCTTCCTGATATTTTCAAGAATTTTGAAACTTCACCATTAGCCACAAATTACAGATTCATTTAAGGTGGTATTCACAAGATGACAGTGCTATTTTTATACTTAAAATCTTAAGGTATCTTAAAAATCTCAAAGCAGTTGAATGTTGATCTATCAATCACCTACATCTTAGAATGATTATACATATTCCTCTATACCCTCCAAGCACTAAAAACACAGTCAACAGGTATATAATATATTTCAAGTGATTTTATATAATTCTGAGAAAAACAGAAGAGAACTAACCTTGACCAGAAGCTCAGTTACTTCATAATGACCATAAGAACAGGCATTGTGTAAGGGCACCAGATCACTACAATATGAGGGAGGGGGTGGGAGGTGAGAAGAAGCTTACGTTATTATAGATTCCCTACAGGTTTAGTTCATTTAATTTTAATTAACTTTAAATTTACACTGAAATTTAAATAACAAATGGCTTTTATGATCCTCTAGTAGAAATGCACAAAATTTAACAGTTCTAAAAATTCTAACTTCCACATCTCTTCCACATCCACCTTTTTTTTCTCCAAGGCTACTGCCATGCCTTTATTATTTCTTCCTGTACTACTCAAACAGCCCCTATTTCAATTTTTCTTCCAAACTGTAGCCAGATTTTTCTAAAAGTAAATCTGATGTAGCATTTTTTTTTTTTTTTAAGAGGGGGAGACAGACAGAGGGTGAGGGGCAGAAAAATAATCTAAAGCAGATTCCATGCCCAGTGTGGAGCCCCATGTGGGGCTTGATCCCACGACGGTGAGCCAAAATCAAGAGTTGGACACTTAACCGACTGAACCACCAAGGCGCCCCTATTGTAGTTACTCCTTGTTTTAATGTCCTTTACTGATTCTTTGTTGCTTCTGAAAACTGGTTCCAACTGCTTAGCTTGGCATGCAATGGTGTGACCCTCTGGAGCCTTACCCTTCAATAATGGTATGCTCAACCACATGTAGCTCCCTCTATGCCTCTGGGCATACAGATTTCCCTCCCTCCTGCCTTGCTTCTACAATCTTTTCGTAACTCACTAGGAATCAGTCATTCAGCTTCAGAATCTGAAATGTAGTTATCTTTTTATTCCTTTCTCTCTCCTCACATCCAGTCAACAGATCTTACCTATTCTTACACTATAATATCTTTTACACCTGTGTCTTCATTTCCATTCCTCTGCAACATTATATATCTTCATTATGCCTGAACCCCTACAGTGATTACTCTCACTGCTCTTTGATCTCTGGTCCTTCTCTCCAAACTACCTTACATACTGCTGCCAGAATGTGTTCCCTAGAACTCCTATTAAAAAAAAAATCTTTCCCCTTGCTTAAGATTTTTCAATAGCTACTGTAGCTCATACTGTGAATTCCTTAGCCTAGAATACCAAGTCTTCTAAAACCTGGTTCTTAACCTACTTCTCTAATCCTAACCTTCATTCCTCCCCTGTGTAAAGCGTCTGCTTCAGCCACACTGGTCTAGTCATTGTTTCTTAAATATGCTGTAATATCTGCTTTAGCACATCCCCTCGCATAACTTCTCTTGCATGATGTTTCCTAAACTCTCTGCTTTCCTGAGCTGAGTCCAGGTCAAGTATCACCTCCTCTTGAAGGATTTTCTACCCGTACAGCCATCACTGAGAGTTTCCTCCTGGGAACTCCTATCCTACTATCTCTATTATCACCTCATATTTAGTAGAGAACTTATACTGTTAGGTATCTTTTCACGCTTCCTAAAGTGTAGTTTAAGCCCTATGAGTTGTGGCTTTAAGGTTTTATAATTCTGTGTGTCCTCAGAGCAATCTGCATATTGTAAAAGCTCCATAATGTTTACGCTGCTTAGCAAGAAGATTTTTATAAGGTTACAGAGATGATTATAAAGACTGTAACATTTAAGATATCCTCATTTGTTTCCAATGCTTACTTACCCTTTATCTTTAGCATGGACATCAGCCCCATGTTGAAGTAATAGCTGTACAATTTTTACTCTGTTGTATCCTGCTGCCAAATGCAATGGAGTTGACTGAAATATTAATCAGACAAATGAATGAAATTACAATAATAGCTTAAAAAAACCCCATATAACACCAGAAATTAAAAAAAAACAAACCCTTTACATCTTCATAGTTATCAACTGGTTTTACAAAATCCAACATATTTATATTGAAGGCACAGTATAGAAGTTTTTAAGTTCATTACTGTAAATTGGAAGCAAACTAAATGTTTATTACCAATAAAGTTTTACTAAGTTTAAGAATTAATCCAAATTACTACTTAAAAGAAAGTATTAGCATTCTCGCCAAAATGTTTTAGTTTTTAGTAAGACAAATATATTTTCATGTTACCAGGAGGATGAACACAAGCTTAGCTGCAAAAGTACCTTTCTGCCATCACTTGCATGGCAGTTGACATTTAATGGTGTCAGTAGAGCCATCATTTTTTCTTCATTGCCACTCCTAGCACACACACAAAAAAAGGGTTAGTAATTTATATTCTTCATCAGATCCTATCTGGAGACATATGAGATCGAACAAAAATTCATTCTCTCTTAAAAGTTTGCTTGTTACTTAAAAAAAATTAATGATAAAATTATTCATGATACTTATTTATAATACTAGTACACACCTGGCACTTTCCAAAAGTTCATCTTTCTTATATTCACCTGTGAATTAAGGGGGAAAAAATGAAAAAAAAAAAAAATTAATCACAAAAGCATTAACAGCTTCATGCATAAAGCTCCTCATGAACTATATTTAAAGTAGATAAATCTGGAAATAGGTTTCCAATGAACAGAAACTGATTAACAGAATACTGTGCAGTTTAAAAATATTTATATGAACATGGAATATATTTGTTATGAAAGTAAAAAAAAAAAAGGGGGGGGTTTGCCTGGGTGGCTCAGTGGTTTAAGCCTCTGCCTCCAGCTCAGGTCTTGGTGTCAGGATCTTGGGATCATCGAGTCCTGAGGCATGGAGCCTGCTTCCCCTTCTCCCTGCCTGCCTCTCTGCCTACTTGCGATCTCTCTCTCTCTCTGTTAAATAAATAAATAAAATCTTTAAAAGAAAAAAAAAAAAAGTTAAAAACAAAAAGAAAAATCTAGTATTACATCATGAAGCGATCTGAAAACAGTATGTTCCAAAAAGGAAAGCCAAGAAGAAAATATACCAAAATTTCAATAAAGTTTGTCTTAGGTAGTAGGTTACTGGTGAGCTTTTCTTTTTTTTACTCCTCAAATTTTCTAAAACTGGTGTGTTATTTGTGCAACAGACAAAATGCACCCACAACTTCATTCCAAAGTAACACAAAACAAAACCCAACATGCCAACATCATAGAGATAACAGAAGATAATCTATGGGATTACCAACTGGACATAATCATTAATAATTTTATGAATGCAGAAGATTTTCCAACACTAAAACTATATTATAGTACTACTTTAAATATATACAAAAACAGGATTAAATATAAGCTTTTTTTTAAAGATTTTATTACTTGACAGAGATCACAAGTAGGCAGAGAGGCAGGCAGAGAGAGGGGGAAGCAGGCTCCCTGCTGAGCAGAGGGCCCGATGCGAGGCTCCATCCCAGGACCCAAGGACCATGACCTGAGCCAAAGGCAGAGGCTTTAACCCACTGAGCCACCCAGGCCCCCCAAATATAAATTCTTTATGCCGATAGCTTCCATACTTACAAATGCATACAAACAAAACATTAAAAAAATACAACTTAAATTAACATAATTTAACATAACGGAAGTGTACTGATTTGCTGAAATAAAATATAGACTGATGTTCACAATAAAAATATATACTGACTGCTAATGCAAGGATTCTTTGAGCCCCAAGATTTTTTAAAAAGAGAAAAGCAGGGAATAGCATGGAAAAGTGAAGGGGGAAATGGAAGTGATAGTTACAGTAACAGCTTGCTCTTCTAGAGCCTCTTTGGAGTACTGGACTAAATTTTGCCGGTAATACCAGAAGAAGTATCACAAAGTCCAAGCACACGAGCTCATAGCAGAACCCCTCAGGCTCTTGACTATTAGATCAGATGTGATTCTAATGGTGCTCACACAGGTAAGAATCCAGAAAATAATATGGCAGAGAGTTTTTCAAGAGGAAACATTCTGATGAAGAAGAAACATGTGAAATGGATACTACCACTCAAAAAGTTTAAAATGAACCTAGGGTGCCTGGGTAGATCAGTTGTTAAGCATCTGCTTTCAGCTCAGGTCATGATCCCAGCATCCTAGGATTGAGTCCCACATTGGGGACCCTGCTAGGGCGGAAGCCTGCTTCTCCTTCTCCCACTCCCCCTGCTTGTGTTCCCTCTCTGTGTCTCTGTCAAATAAATAAAATCTTTAAAAGAAAATAGGATAAAATGAACCTAGAGACTAAGCCTTATATATGTTAACAGGTTCCAAAGACATGAATATGTTAAGAGAAAACAGTAACTGACATTCTTCAAGGTACTGAAATTGGTATGACCAGAATCCTCTGCTTTAGAAAAAACAGAGCTTTTTGAAAGCTTTTCTTTAAAAAAAAAAAAAAAAAGTATGTCAAAAAAAACGCATATAAAGGGGGTAAAACATGTTACCTGGAAAAGCCAGGGACATTTATTTATTTATTTATTTTAGATTTTTAAAATATCTTACTTCTTTTTTTTTTAATATCTTTTTTTTTTTTTAAAGATTTTATCTATTTATTTGACAGACAGAGATCATAAGCAGGCAGAGAAGCAGGCAGAGGGAAAGGAGGAAGCAGCCTTCCTGCTGAGCAGAGAGCCCCATGTGGGGCTCGATCCCAGGACCCTGGGATCACAACCTGAGCCGAAGGCAGAGGCTTCAACCCACTGAGCCACCCAGGTGCCCCAATATCTTACTTATTAAAAACTGACAGCCTATACAGAATCTTATCATAAAACCATATACATTACAAAAAATTTTTTATAAGAACAACTTCAATGTCTAGAAAAGTAGCATTTTTAGGCAGTTCCAGCTTGGAAATACAAATTCTCTGATTTCAAAAGGAGATGTTTCATAAACTTACTCACTTGTCAATAAAATTAATTTCTGAGATTTCAAATTTTTTTTTTTAAGATTTTTTATTTATTATTTATTTGACAGACAGAGACAGAGAGGCAGGCAGAGAGAGAGAGAGAGAGGGAAGCAGGCTCCCTGCTAAGCAGAGAGCCTGATGCGGGACTCGATCCCAGGACCCTGAGATCATGACCTGAGCTGAAGGCAGCGGCTTAACCCACTGAGCCACCCAGGCGCCCGAGATTTCAAATATTTTAAGCTACTTTCATTTTTAAAAAGTTTTTATTTTAATCACCAGGTGCTCATCACAAGTGCACTCCTTAATCCCCATCACCTGTTTCACCCATCCTTCTACCCACCTCCCCTCTGGTAACCCTCAGTCTGTTCTCTATAGTTAAGAGTCTATTTCTTGGTTTCCCTTTTTTTCCTCTTTGCTTATTTTTTTGTTTGTTTGTTTCTTAAATTCTTTACAAGAGTGAAATCACATGGTACTTGTCTTTCTCTGACTTATTTCACTTAGCATTATACTCTAGCTCCATCCATGTTGTTGCAAATGGCAAGAATTCATTCTGTTTTACGGCTGAGTAATATTCCATTGTGTATATATACCACATCTTTTTTATCCATTTATCTATGGATGGACACTTGGGCTGCCTCTATACCTTGGCTCTTGTAAATAATGCTGCTATAAACATCAGGGTGCACGTGTCCCTCTGAATGAGTGTTTCTGTATTTTTTGAGTAATACCCAGTAGTGCAATTGCTGGATCGCTGGGTAGTTTTATTTTTAACTTTTAAAGGAACCTCCATGCTGTTTTCCATAGTGCCTGCACCAGTTTGCATTCCCACCAACAGTGCACAAGGGTTCCTTATTCTCTACATCCCCACCAACACCTATTGTTTCTTATGTTGTTGATTTTTAGCCATTCTGACAGCTGTAAATGATGTTGAGTATTTTTTTTTTTTTAAGAGAGAGAATGCATGCGTTTGTGTGCACAGGAGTGGGGTGGGGAGGGGCAGAGGGAAAGACCGAGATAGAATCCATCCTGGACATGGAGCCTGATGCAGGGCTTGATCTCATGACCCTGAGACCACAACCTGAACCGAAATCAGGAGCTGGAGGCTAACTGACTGAGCCACCCAGGTGCCCCAACATTGAGCATCTTTTCATGTGTCTGCTGGCCAACTGTCTATCTTTTTGGAGAAATGTCTATGCATGTCTTCTGCCCATTCTTAATTGGATTATTTGTTTTTTGGGTGTTGATTTTTCTAAGTTCTTTATATATTTTGGATATTAATTCTTTATTAGAGATGTTATTTACAAATATCTTCTCCCATTCTGTAAGGTGCTTTTTAGTTTTGTTGACTGTTTCCTTCTCTGTGCAAAAGCTTTTTATTTTGATGTAGCCCCAATTGTTTATTTTTGCTTGGAAAAGTCAGGGACATTTAAAACATATCCTGAATACATGATAGTAACACGCCATTATCTATTACCCGTGAATGAAATACGACAGGAAGCACAAATTTAAACACCAATTTAAAAAGAAAAAAGAAAAGCTTTACTTTTCTTAGGTAATAATCAAACACCAATTATCCAGATGTAAAAAGACTAACAACTGAACTGACAGTATTTTGAAAATCTAGTTAAAGTCATTAACTGGAGGAGGCTCAATTCTTTATATTCTTCCCAGAATACCCAAAGTGAGTACATAGACTTACCGGTCAGCACTGCTTTGGCAGATGGGTCTGCTAAATCTAATGCTGTCCTTCCATCTGTATTCCGGATGGTTGGCTCAGCTCCATGCTGTAAGAGCACTGCAACAACACAGTGACAATAACTTTCAAAATGGTAATCATGACAATCGGATCTTCTCAAAATTCTGGTCCAGAAGTCTTTGAGTTATTTAAAGACCTTCCATATCCTGACGGCATGCTAAATGTTGTATTTTAAAGATAAGATTGTATAAAATATTGCATTATTTAATGTATAAGATACATTAAATAAATGTCCCCTAAGCTCAATGTCAGGTTTCCTTTGCTTTGTGACTAAGGACAGATAAGAGTATATAAAGAAATAAAAGGCTAATTTGCTTGAAAGCTTGTTCTCTAATTCCAAATGAACGACTGCTCGTGGTAGACTGTCCTATCGTAACAAAATGGAATTTCTAAAGCTATGGAAATCCAGGAATAGGGATCTGTGGAATTAGAAAAGAAAAATAAAATCACATGGATAAATTATTTAAAAAAGAAAAAATGCCCTCTGTAGGGTTAACAAACCCCAAATCAAAACCGTTTCATTACATCATAGAACATACACAAAAAAGGCTCGTGCTATATTCTGTATTGTTATTTGTCATATAAAGATATTCTAGCACACTCTATAAGTAAGGTGCAAGGAAAGGCTAATACATGCAGAGAGGGGAGCTAACTCCTGTTCTTTGACACAGTTATATTCATTCCACTCTACTACTCCCTGTAACAATGCTGGCCAATAGAAATAAAATGTGAGCCACACAGGTAATCTAGAATTTTCTAGTAGCCACATTAAAAAAAAAAAAAAATAAAAAGAAACAGGTTAAATTATTTTAAACACATTTTATTTAACCCAATACCCAAAGTACCATTTCAGTATTTTATTTATACTGTGATCAATATAAAATTGAGACTTTTGCATTGTTGTTTTTCCAAAGTCAATCTCTGAAAACTGGTATGTAAAAAATGTATCTCAATTCAAATCAGCCACATTACAAGTCCTCAGCTACTATACTGGGCAGTGAAGACCTATAACTATATCTGGAAAACCCTACATTATTAAAGCTGATTATTTCTATCTCTGAGACTCAGGAACTAGAAAAGGACTATGAGCAGAGGAAGTAGCAACTTAGATAACACATAGGAAAGTAGAATTGGGCAGAGATTACTGGGTAATGTGTTTTGTATCTTTATAAATGACCTAACTTGAACTAACCTGACCAGTATTAACAGTGATTTGGGGCTTTGCGATGAGGGGAGAACAGTCAGTCCAGCTTAGAGCACCTGGGCTTTTCCTAGTGCACAGACCTTGTTTTCTTTCTGTCTCCAACATTTCAACTGTCCCTGTTTTGCATCAGGAAACAGAGCTAAGATAAGCAGAGTCCAAAATCCCCGACTGGTAGGCTCAGAAAAGTTAATACCAGATTAATGAAAACTCTCAAATAAGCAACCTTTTCAATGATAATTTTGTCAGTGATCAACCTGTCAGGCAAATCCTCTATCATTTGTTAAAGAATTCTAAATGATAATTTGTCCTTCAAATGTTTCTGTACTTATCCTGCCATTTTTATTCTACAATAACCCTACTTCATGCCCTCATCATTTGTCATCTGGGTTATTCTACAGCTTCCTAGCTGGTCTCTCTGGTGCCTTCTATTCAACCTAAGCCCCTTCAGATCATTCTTTTGAAAATAAGCTACACTTCATGCGACTGTTTCCTTAAAGTCTTCAATGATTCCACACTACCTACATAACAATAACAAGCTCCCTAACCTGGAATTCAAAGCTCTTTATAAAGAAGTCTATCTACCTTTTCCAATCTTTCTCCCATTACTTCCTGGAAAGACTCCAGGAAGGAGCAACCTGACTCTAACCAAGTCACAGTACTCAGTTCCCTCTAACAATTCCTGTTCACTTCTACCATGACTTTACCCGGTTTTTCATGTGTCTCTAAATTTCTAGAGAACAGGAATTTTGTATTTTCTTCTTTAAAGAACTTAAGTGTAATACCATATAAAAACAGACACTCAGTAAATAATGGTTAGGTTAAATCACAAAGTGTTCTTTAGTATTTAAATTCAGCCTGGCAGAATTTGATCATATTAACAAAGGAATTCAATTTAGACTCAGAATAGTTACAAACTGTTTCAGGAAGATTCAGAAAGTAAATAGTCTTACCAATGCAAACATCAATCTTTCCTTTAATTGCAGCTTCATGGAGGGGGGTATAATTCCAATTATCACGAGCATTTGGGTCTGCACCATGTCGCAAAAGGAGACTGACTACTTCAGCATGACCAAAAGAACATGCGTTATGAAGAGGAATAAGCCCCCCATCATCACGTGCTTGGACATTTGCCCCATTCTGAAGCAAATATTCAACTACATCTTTCCGCCCAAAACCTAGAAGAAAGCAAATTATCCACATTTAAGTTTGCCAAAGAAAATATATCACTTAGTAATGATAAGTACTAGCTATGCTAAAATGTCTTTGGATGAAGAATAACAAAAGATTCAACAATTCAAAAAATAACTGATGGAAAGAAGATCTGGAATATATCACTAACTAATCTTAATGAGAAAGCCAAGGGCCTAACCGTTTAGGCAATACAGCTGATCCTCGAACAACATGGGTGTGAACTGCATGGATCCACTTATAAGCAGATTTTTTACAGTACTGTAAATATGTTTTTTCTTCATTATTATTGTAAGAATACAGTATACAGGACATCACATAATATACAAAATATGCATTACTCGACTGTTTATGTTATCAGTAAGACTTCTATGGTCAACAGTAGGGTGTTTGTGGTTAAATTTTGGGTAGTCAGAAGTTATATGCAGATTTCTGACTGCACAGGGGGTCAACACCCCAAACTTCATGTTGTTCAAGGGTCAACTGTACCATTAACTTCAGAGAATGGTTATGAAATAGGTGACCGAAAGCCCAATGTTAAAATGTTTCCCACTCTAGACTAGCATTTTTTTTTCTTTCTTTTTTTTTTAAAAGATTTTATTTATTTATTTGACAGACAGAGATCACAAGCAGGCAAGGAGGCAGGCAGAGAGAGGAGGAAGCAGGCCCTCCGCAGAGCAGAGAGCCTGATGTGGGGCTCGATTCCAGGACGCTGGGATCATGACCTGAGCCGAAGGCAGAGGCTTTAACCCACTGAGCCACCCAGGCGCCCCTAGACTAGCATTTCTAATAGCAAATACAGAGTTCTGCATATTTAGAGTGCATACATTTTCAGATGTCCTAAGTATATAACTCTTGCTACAGAATCCCTTTCCCACATCTATCTCATAAAATGGTTCCACTAAATTGGGGGACTAAGAGATAGCAACAAGGAATTCTGCTTACAGTTTATAAGTGTCTGTGCAGTGAAGATAAAAGTGATCCTTGGGAAAGGTGTGATATCAGGTGTCTTCAAAGGAGCCCCCAATTTGTCACATGCACAATACAAGCAACTTCTTTCTAGGTAGGAGGCCTCCTTTGGAAAACCATGTACCACAGTTCTGCTCTAAGTGCTCCCATATCAAACAACAGAAAAAGTCCTACAACTAATTTTTACTAGTTTACAGCTTTAGTACCAATGAATTCCAATCTCTTACCATTCTCGTTCTCACATAAAAGCACTTAAAACCTTTTTACAGCTAAAAAAATGAAATGAAAAGAATTTCAGGCATATGTTAAAGCAGATACATGTGTGCTGAGAAAGCCCTTCTCACTCATCTAAAGTTTCACCCCAATATTCTTTTTTACTTGATGAGAATATTTTGAAAATTATTTTTATTAACATATAATGTATTATTTTCCCCAGGGTCACCCCAATATTCTTAAAACCACCAAGGCTGAATATGGTTCTTCTAAAACCAGAGTGGGAGCTGAATGAGAAAGCAGCAGTAGAATGCTTTTAAGGTGTATGCCTAGGGCTGGCCTAGTTGCAGCCGATGGAAGAATTAGATGGCTATAAAGATTACCTGCATTCCATGTTTTATTTATTTCTTTATTTATTTAAAAAGACTTTTATTTATTCATCTATTTTACATAGGGAGATCACATGTAGGCAGAGAGGCAGGCAGGCAGAGGGAGAAGCAGACTCCCTGCTGAGCAGATCACCCTATGTGGGGCTCAATCCCAGGACCCTGAGATATGGCATATAAAATGCTACAGAGTCCAAAGAAGGAAATACCCAAATTGGGGGAAAGCAGAGAATAAGAAGGACTACCCAAGGAGATTCTAGCAAGGACATCTGAGCTGAAGGCATACAGAAAAATTAAGGGGTCATTAGGAGAATGGGGCAAGGAAAGATGAGGGGAAGGATTGGAATAAGGGAAGAGCACTGCAGTCCAAGCAGAAGAGATCAAAAAGTACATAGAAGCATAAAAGAGCAAATCATTCCTAATAGGATACAGAATGCCAATTAGGCAGATGCCAGGTGAGGAAGAACCTTTTATATGTCATGCTAAGATAGCATCTGGATTTTGTCTTATGGAATAGAGAATAGTGTTGTTTTTTTTTTTAATATTTTGTTTTTCTGATAGAGAGTTAGAGAGAGAGCACAAGTAAGCAGAGCGTCAGGGAGAGGGGGAGAGAGAGAAGCAGGCTCTCTGCTGAGCAGGGAGCCTGATGTGAGGCTCGATCCCAGGACCCTGGAATCATGACCCGAGCTGAAGCAGGCGCTTAACCAACTGAGCCACCCGGGCACCCTGAGAATAGTGTTTTCAAAACTGTTTTCAGGCAGATTTTAATGAATCATTTTCTGTCCTTAAAAAAATTTGAGATATAAACTTAAATAAAGCATATGAGTTTCAGGCATACAATATAATAATTCACTATTTATATACATTGTCCAATGATCACAATAAATCTAGTTAACATCCACCAACTCACCTAATTACAAATTTTCTCGTGATGAGAAGAACTTTTAAGATCTACTCTCTTAGCAACTTTCAAATATATGTGATTAACTATAGTCACCATACTATACATTATATTTTTTTGTAATGGAAACTTGTATCTTTGGACCACCTGTACCCATGCACCCACCCTACTTCTCCTACTTCTCCCTCCCTTCTTCTTCTACTCATCCCCTACTTCTGGCAACCACCAATCTGTTCTGTGAACTTGGGTTCTTTTGTTTTGTTTAGTAAGATTCCACATACAAGTGAAATCATACAGTACTTCTTTTACTTAGCATAACATACTCAAGGTCAATCCATGTCACAAATGGCAGTATTTTACTCTTACAGTTAAATAATATTCTATTATATACACATACCACTTTTCCTTCATCCATCAATCGACACTTAGGCTGCTTTAGGTCTTGACTACTGTAAATGACACTGCAATGAACAGGTGTGTGTGTTTATCTTTTTGAGCTAACAATTCCTAATGAAATCTTGTAAAATTCTAATATATAGCGTGATCACTGAAAAAATACCCAATTCCTGGTACATAACTGGCACTCACAGAGTTGCAACTTAACTGAATTCAGTGTAACAATACAATTCAGCTTGAATCCTCCTTCTTCAAAAGCCTTCAGAAAGACCCAAAGGAAATTATCCCTGTATTACTGAGGCATCTCTTAGAAATAGTATGAAAAATACTGCTATACGTTTTAAGTCATTACTGAAGGACAAACAAATACCTAGTAACGTTTAAGAACAACAATAAAGGGGCACCTGGGTGGCTCAGTGGGATAAAGCCTCTGCCTTCGGCTTGGGTCATGATCCCAGGGTCCTGGGATCGAGCCCCGCATCGGGGGCGGGGGGGGGGTCCTCTGCTCGGCAGGGAGCCTGCTTCTCCCTCTCTCTCTCTCTGCCTGCCGCTCTCCCTACTTGTGATCTCTGTCAAATAAATAAATAAAATCCTTAAAAAAAATAAATAAAAAATGAAACACCGTTCTGCAATTTTCTTAAAAAAAAAAAAAATCTATTAATATCCCAGAAACCAACTCCTATCAGTACCTATTTTTATTTGTTGGAAGTATCATAATTTAACTATAGATCTTCCTCAACTTCTGATGGGTTTATAGCCTGATAAACCCATTAAAATTAAAATACTCTTAAGTCAAAAATGCATTTAATGCACCTAACCTACTAAACATCAATCACAGCTTGGCCTAGCCCACTTTAAATGAGCTCAGAACACTTACATTTTAGTCTACAATTGGGCTAAATCATTTCACACAAAGCCTATTTTATAATATAGTGTTGGGTATCTCCTGCAATTTACTGGATACTGTACAGAGAGTGAGTAACATAACGATTGTACAGAATGGTTTTCAGTGAACTGGCTGTGTACCCTCATGACTGCATAGCTAACTGGAGCTGCAGCTCAATGCCCCTGCCCAGCATCATGAGTATTGTACCGCATAGTGCCAGCCCAGGAAAAGATCAAAATTCAAAATCTGAAGTATGGATTCTACTGAATTCATACCACTGTAAAATCATACAATCATAAACCATCATCAGTGGGAGACCTATAGTTCCTTTCTCATGGATAGTTGTTACTAATTTTTTGCTACTGTACACAATATTGCCAGAAGTAACTAAAAAGAGAAAATTGACAGCATCTGGTGACTTCTTTAACTTGAGGACAGAGAAGGAATGGGGGTGACTATCAGATCTCTGAGAAACAAAACAGCTTTTGTGGGTTAAGATGATTTAGTTTTGGAAATGCTTAGTGAGGTGTTTGTGGATCAAATACCAAGTAGAAGGTTCTGCAGATCCTGAACTCAGGAAGGAGCTAGAGCTATGACCATCAGGATGACATTTCAAGCCATGCATGAAAATAAATGAGGCTGGCTACAAAGCACTAGTTTTCTATCCGTTTTGTTGAAAGAAGTGTACTTCTATCAAAGACCCATTACTTTTCATCTTGCACTTTAGTCCCTTCTTACCTTCTCAAGGTCTCTGTTCTCTCCCCACTCCCAACAACCTCTCCCTTTCTACTAGATGATTCCTGATAGTATGTAAACGTGTTCTACATCTTCTATTTTATGAAAAATATCCTCCCTAAACTCAAATTTCCATTTCTCCGCTCCCTTGCATAATCAAATCTCTAAAGGCTGTCACCAATTCTCTCTATTCACACTTCTTTCCAAATCCAACCTGGCTTCTGCTTCTTTTAACTGCTTTAATCAAGGTCATTTAAAATCTCCATGTTGCCAAATTCAAGGGTTGTATGTCTGTCTTCATTTGATCTTACCCCTCAACAACATTTGGCAACTAAGTACTCCCTTCCTTGCTGAAGCACCCTCTCCAAAATGTCCATTTCATCACACACTCCTGGTTTTCCTGTCTCATCCATTCATTTAACAAATGATCAGAGAGTATCTACTACAAGACAGACACTTTTTTTTTGGTGCCTGGGACATGCTAGTGAACAAGAGACCAAA